ACTTGTGGGGTGATAGAAATGTTTTGAAATTACAAAATGTTAATGATTATACAATGTCTATATATTCACATGCGCATACCTGAATATATACTTTAAATAAATTTTATGTTATGTGAATTATATCTCAATTTAAAAGTAACACTTGGTAAGTACTATTAAATATCATAGGAGCAGCTGATTCCCATCTGGGAGAGGCTGTGAGAACCGATGGAAGAAAATGGTAGAATCTGAAAAACAATACCGAATGAAGACAGTAGGCAAAGAGAAAGTGAGTCAAAAACCTCCCTTTGAGTGCTGGCTCAGTGGGTAAAGGAGTTTGTTACACAAACCTGCCGGTTGGGGATCTCCGCGGAGCTGCCCTCTTCAGGCCCCGCCCCTGAGAAAGCCTGCCAAGGGTTAGCTCCTCCCCCGGGATGCTCAAGATCACGCCTACAGGCTGTTTAAGACTTGGTCCCTCCTGGTTTCTCCTCTTCCCCTGGGACCACCTGGGAATGCTTTGCTCACATTAAAACCTGGACTTTAATTCGGCCTGATATGATTTATTGCATCAGCAGAGCGACTTAATATCGGGGTACAGAAACTTATCACTGGCAACCTAAGTTTGATCCTTGGACCGTATAGTGGTAGAAGAGAACTGACTCCTGAGTTATCCTCTGACTTCCGTGTGCAGACTATATGGCACATGTGAGGCCACACTTGCATGCAATTTGTGCATGTGTGCACACATAATTAATAAAATAAATTTTGGCCGGAAGTGGTGGCACATGCCTTAAATCACAGCATTCGGGAGGCAGAGGCAGGCAGATCTCTATGAGTTCGAAACCAGCATGAGTATGAGTTCCAGGACAGCCAGGACTGTTTCAAAGAGAAACCCTGACTCGAAAAACCAAAAATAAAAGAAACTAAATTTTAACAAGAAATGCATGCCAGTCCTGCCATTGAGTGGCCTTGTTCAGACTTACTAACATGACAGTCTTCTTCTGCAGGATGAGGACTAAGGTCTGCTTCCTGTGTTGTTGTGTACAGCACATGCAGAGCTGTCAATAGGCATTCGATGCATGCTGCCTCTCTTCCGTCTCGGTATGTTTCACTGCTAATTTTGGAGTAACTGATGGTGACTATAAATGCAGAGCAGGAGAAAGGCTTTCTTTGTGTCTGAATAGTGAGAAATTTGATGAGGCTGAAGTCTAAAGGCAGCGGGAAGCAGACATTAGAAGTTTTTGAATAAAAAGAAAAAATAAGGTCTTTAGGATTTAGTCTCGAGAGATGTAGAAATCAGGAGACACTGGAGGTAGGGAGGGAGGGGGGAGGAATAGAGAGTGAAGACATTGGTTCTTTAGATGATCCCAGAATGATCTCATTAGAGGATGTGGTTTCTTAACCTCATTGGATATAAGTCAGTGCTTGGCTTCTTAATGGAATTTCTGGTCCTCCTACCTTTACCTCCTGAGTGCTAGGAATGCCACACCCAGCTACCCTTTTCCAAATGCTAAATTACCTGGAAAATATTCTATTCCCTTTACAAAGAGTACATTGCTTCTGAGCTCTTACACTACTATGTTGAGGTCTAAAATTTGTTGTAGGATGAATAGTCTGGTGTAAATCAGCTTTCTGTTGCTATAGCAAAATAGTTGAGATGAATAACTTATAAAGGAGGAAATGGCTCATGCTTTCAGAGGTTTTAGTGGGACTCATGCTTTCTCAGAACACGTACTTTTGTTTGTTTTTCAAGACAGGGTTTCCCTATGTAGCTCTGGTTGTCCTGGGACTCACTCTGTAGATCAGACTGGCCTCGAACTCAGAGATCCACCTGCCTTTGCCTCCTGATTGCTGGGATTAAAGGTGTGCGCCACCAATGCTTAGTGGGACGGTGCCTTTAGGCCTGTGGTGAGGTGGACTATCATAGCAGAAGTGTGTGGTGAAGGTCCTGGCTGGGGAGAATGAGAGGGGAGAGAGGCCACAAGAGATGGAGATGGGAATAAGAGAACATTCAAGCATGCTCATCTCAAGTCGGTGATGAGAGTTCAAGGCTCTGAGGAGTGGGATGGAGACATTGGGGAATTTTAGCAGGGCAGTGCCACATTGTGGTTACCTTTATTCTTGGAGCTACGGTGTGAACAGTAGAGCATAGAAGAACAAGAATCGAGGGGGGGGGTGGCCTGCAGTTGCATACTACTGAAGTCTGGGAGAAAGATAATGGTAGCTTGGCCTAAGCTGGAGAATATTTCCTTTCTGTCACTGTGCTAAAATACCCTGACAAAGACCAACTTCATAGGAAAGGGGTTCCCTTTAGTTTACAATTCCAGGTTACTGTATGTCATTATGCCAGGATATCAAACAGCTAGTTGTACCTGTCCACAGCCAAGAGCCGAGGCAGGTAAATACATGCTCTTTTGCTTTTGCTCAACTTAGTTTCTTTACTTTTTTTTTTTTTCCACTGTTGGTTTGTTTGCTTTCGTTTTTTGAGACAGGATTTCTCTGTGTAGCTTTGTAGCCTGTCCTGGAACACTCCCCGTAGACCAGGCTGGCCTCAAATTCACAGAGACCCGCCCACCTCTGCTCCCTAGTACTGGGATTAAAGGTGTGTGCCATCACTGCCTGGCAGTTTCTCCACTCCCCCCTTGCCTGGGGAATGAGGCTGCCCACAGTGGGCTGGATCTTTCCATAACAATTAATTTAACTAACACAACAGCCTATAGACACACCTAAAGCAGACAATTCCTTACTGAAGCTCTCATCTCATGATTTAGGTTGCATCAAGTAGACTATTATGGCTAACTATCACAGCTGGTAACAGTGGAGGTGGCATACAGTGACAACAGATTTGTACTTTGGTAAGTTCATTTGTGCCCATGGTGGTGGGGATAGAGATAAGCATATCATTAAAAGGCAGAGCTGAATGAATTTCAGGGGTTTACCACAGAAAAAGGACTCAAGTTGACTTCATCCTAAAACTCCACTTCTCCAACTCTTATGGGATGCCAGGGTGATAAACACACACCATACAGAAAGGCCACGTAGAAACTGGGTCCACAGCATCAGCGTCTTTGAGTGTTTCTTGTACTGAGGTCTCATGGCACATGTACGGATGATCAGAGGTCATGGTCCAAATTCTGCAGTTACCATGGATTCTTGCTACATGACATCTAAGTGCCCTTGCATCTTTAATGCTCTGTGCTGCAGTATTCGGCTCCCGGGGAGATAAAACCCCTGTGTTAAAGGGGTCATGCAGAGAGTTTGAGGCTTGGCACCATGAAGAGAACCCAGGAGAGGTTATTGGTGAAAGCGCCTCCCAGTTGTCACAGAAGACCCCAGCATTTTGGAGATGCCGTAGCATGAGGTGACCACCAAAACAGCAGCAGTCTTGGAGCCAGCTAGATACTAGAAGACAAGCTGTGTGCGCTGCAGAAAAGGGAGCTAGAGACCTTGACCCAAGCCCTCTGGAGGATCTCAGCAGATTGTCGCTGGATTCTAGACAGGGGATACTGAATGATGAACACACTTGGAATTCGGTATGCTCTGGTTCTTTCCTGCAGAAGGAAGGATGTATTTAACTTATTTTGTTTTTATAGGAGCCCACCGTTGCGAGACATTAGATTATAAATGACTTTGGATTTTAAAAGAGACTGAATTTTTTAAGTGTTTAAAATTTTAAAGGCTGTGGGACTTTTTAAGTTTTAAAATGTTTTATATTGTAATGTCTGTATGTATGATTTTGGTGATGAAAAAGAAAGGGAAGCCGGGTGTTGGTGGCCCACACCTTTGATCCCAGCACTTGGGAGGCAGACACAGGCAGATCTCTGTGAGTTCGAGTCCAGCTTGTTCTACAGAGTGAGTTCCAGGACAGGCTTTCAAAACAATACAAAGAAACCCTGTCTCAAAAAAAAAAAAAAAAAAAAAAAAAAAGAAAGAAAGAAAGAAAGAAAGAAAAGAAAAAGAAAGGGAAGTTTGTGGTGTAACAGCGATTTGTTCCTATGTCAAATTGACAAGAGGGTCAATTGTACTGGCTAGTTTTATGTCAACTTGACACAAGCTAGACTCATTTGTGAGGAGGGAGCCTCAAATGAGGAAATGCCTCCATAAAATAAGGCTGTAGGCCAGTCTGCAGGCATTTTCTTCATTAGTGGTGGATGTCCAGCCCAATTTGAGTGGGGTTACCCCTGGACTGGTGGTCCTGGGTTCTATAAGACAGCAGGTTGAGCATGCTTTAAGAGCAAGCCAGTAAGCGGCACTCCTTCATGGCCTCTGCATCAGCTTCGGCCTCCAGGTTCCTGCCCTTCCTGACTTCCTTTGACAGTGAACTCTGAAGGAAGAGTAAACCAAAGGAACCCTTTCCTCCCCAAAGTGCTTTGGGCATAGTCTTTCATCACAGCTGACTTTATCTCCGGAAATATGAGGCATTGTTTATGATCGGCATGCTTCTTTCTCTGTCAAAAGCAGTAGCGATTTACACACTCCATGGATCTGTGAAGTAAAGTGATACATGTGTGCAGATGTCTACAAAATCCACGCTGCAGATTAAGACGACTTCAGATACACATCTTTAATATTTTACAGTTGAAGTCAGTTTTTGGCGTTCTCTTTTTGTGACACGGTTTCCGGCTTCACCTATCCCAGACTAGGTTTTAAACTTTCTATATAGTCCAGGATGACATTGAATTTTTATTTCTGGTGCCTACACTTTCCACGGGCTCCGCGACACCTGGTTTATGCGGTGCTGGGGATTGAACCTAGGACTTCATGCACGCTTCTGCAAGTACTCGATCAACTTCTGCATTTCCAGCGCTGGGCAGAACTTTTTCTATTTTTGTCGCAGACCCCGGCCTCAGACAAAGATTCTGAATACAAACAGAAAGTGGCCAGGGCAAGTAGGGAAACACTGGACACTTCACCGCGAGCCGAGGTGGGAGGGAGACCGCGGCTCGCTGGCCTCACGTGACCTCAGCCCCCCTTCTCCCCCCCCTTCCCCCGGTAGCTCGAGTCCCGCCCCTCGGCTCTGGCAGGGGGAAGGGGAGGCGCATGCGCACCCCGTGTTAGTGATGGAGGAGAGAAGATGGCGGAAGCGGAGTGAGTGACTTGCTGGTGACTGATGTCGTAACCGGGGGGCGAGTGAGGGCAGCGACACGTCCCCCTGAGGGAGTTCTCAAGGCTCCGAGGTTGACAGTGCAGGGCTGAGGAGAGGCGAGAGCCCCGGCGTGGTGGAGGAGCCCGGGCACGGGCGGAGGAGGATGGCCGGTCCCGTCAGCCTCCCCTCGGGAGTGCGTGTGGCGCGGTCCGGTCCCGCGGCCGCGCGGCCCTGTCCGCACCGCCACCCTGGGGGCCCGGGCCTCCGGGGTGTCGCCGGACGCGAGCCCTGGGGCGCTCTTCCGGGGCTGTCACTCCGGCCGCGGCCCCGCCGACGTGTGTCGGGCTGGGCGGGAGGCGCCAGGCCTCGGCGCTGGCTTCTGCGGCCCATCGCCGTCCGGCGGGCTGTGCGGCGGGCGGGACAGCGGAGCCGGGGGACCGCGGGGACCGCGGGGACCGCGGGAGGCGTCCGGACGGTGGTGCGGCCGGCCCAGGCCTTTCCTGGCACTCCCCCTCCGGGCTCGGGCTGCAGCGGCGTGCCTCCCTCGCTGGAGGGACGCATTCTTGGGTGGCGCTGTGATGGTATGCTGGGCCAGCGACTTGAAACTTACTGCTTCCCCGGTAGGCCTCTGGGGTAGCAGAGCTGAACGGTGCAGGCGTTTCCATGCCAAGCCCATGCACTTATCAAAAGTGTTCTTTTTGTACCAGGCCTCGAAATGTGATGCGATGATTTCTGGCCAGTTGCACTCGCCAGTGTTTAGGATTGATGTTTAGGTTCTCTGTGACCATTTTTGGTTAGTCAGAACTACCCTGGCATCCGTCGCATATGGACTTGAGAGCACAGCTGAGCAGAAAAAGACTTTGCTGATTGGAAGGCAATTAAAAAAATAGCGAAGTATTAAAAAATGTATGATTCAACTTGCAATAAAAGAAGTTAGTGAGAAATCATTTACCTGCGTTTTTCCTTCCACCTTTCTCCATGTAAATTGGATGTTCATTCAGGTGTGGTGGGCTGGAGAATTTCGAGTCTCATTGAAGCTAACCTGGGCTACATAGTGCTACCCTGTTTTGTTTTAGAAAGAAAAGTGAGTGTTCATGTTCCATTTTGGTCAAAGATGGCAATGTCAGTTGGTTCAAATGTTATCTCTTAAGAGAAAAAGACAGATAAGGAAATAGGAAACTAGTAAAACCTCACATGTGTTTCTGACCCTGGAGTGACAACTAATGTGGTTTTAGTGTAACAAAATGGAAGCCTTTGGAATTGGCCGTAGAAGTTTGAGTTTATTAAAATATACACCACCCTCCTCTTATGGTTTTTTGAGACGTGGTTTCTTTGTGTAGCCCTGGCTGTCCTGGAATTGACTCTGTAGGCCAGGCTGGCCTTGAACTCACAGATCCACCTGCCTCTGCTTCCCCATTGCGGGGAGAGGTGGGGTGGGGGTGGGGGTGGGATTAAAGATGAGCACCACTACCATCTGGCAAAATATAGATTTCTTATTGTGTGATACTTTGTACCACAATATAAATGACATAAGACTGTAATATTAAGGAAAAAGATTAGAAAGTTTGATGCAAAAATGTGGTTTACTGGCAGTACATAGGAAAGTGAATAAATTATATTCCATCACCACCCCAAATTTTAGAACAATTCTTCCTGAAAAAAGATTTTTTTGTAAGGATATAAGATGCTGCTTTTATTTGTTACTTCATTTCACTAAGTGTACTAATCTGTTGTTAAGCTAAATTGTTAGTAGAATTAGTAAGGAGAATGTTAGAGAGTAATTAAAAAGAAAAGCTACTGAGAGTTGAAAAAAATAAGATTTTTACGTGTATGGGTATTTTGCCTGCTTGTATGTGTCTGCATTACTCCATGGTGTGTGCCTGGCCCCTCAGAAGCCAGAAGAAGGCATCTGATCATGGGACTCAGTTTCGGAGGGTTCTGAGCCTCTGTGTGGGTGCTGGGCATCAATCAAACCCAGGTCCTCTGCAAGAACAGCCAGTGCTCTTAACCACTGAACCATCTCTTCCTCCTCACTCTCACTAACTATTTTTAATTTTTATTTCTTTAAGAGACAGGGTCTTGTGTAGCTTTGGCTGGCATCTTACTTATTATGACCTTCCCCAAGTGCTGGAATTACATGTGTGTATGCCAGTACCAATAACCATATGGTACTTGCAGTTAATCTAGTGAATTTAAGTCCTTAGGAGAGATGGCCAGCAGTTAGCAAAGGACCAGGGTTCAATTCCCAGCAGCCACATTGTGGCTCAGAACTGTCCATAACTCTCTCTTCAGTAGCACACAGGCATACAGACATACATACAACCCCTCCCTGCAGACACCCAAGAAGACACAAATAAGAACTCTGATACTACTTGGTTTCAAATCTCTCTCTCTCTCTCTCTCTCTCTCTCTCTCTCTCTGTCTCTGGAAAAAAGATTTTCATATAATATTTTTGATTATGTGTCGTGTTGTGCCTCCCCAGTTCCTCCCAGAGTCTCCTACCTCCTTTGCTACTCAACTTTGTGTTCTTTTCCTCTCAGTCTTTTTAAACAAACAAACATAAAACCAAAACCCCAGAAACTGCTGGGCAGTGGTGGCACATAGCTTTTGGCAGGTGGATCTCTGTGAGTTTCAGGACAGCCTGGTCTACAGAGGGAAACTCTGTCTCAAGGAGAGTGGGGGAGTAAAAGAAAACCCCAGAAATATACAACCCCCCACAAAAGCCTACAAAATGAAAATCAAAATAAATAGGCACAAGACCAATTCTAGACACAGAATCCAAAATGAAGCAAAATGCAGCAAAACATAACAGAAGTTCTGTGTTGGCTAACTACTCCTGAGCGTGGGACCTTCCCTGAAGAATGTGTTGACAGATATATCCAGTGAGACTCCACTGGAGAAAATTTGTTTTCCACTGCCAATGGGTGTCAATTGCAGATAGCTAATTAGGACTAGGACCCTGTGTCCACTTCTGTCTTTCAAATCTGCCCCATTTCAATAATGCAAACATAAACTTCAATGTAGGCTTCATTTTAGTTACTGTTCTGAGTCATTTGAATGCCATTTAGCAGATATTACCCATCAACTAGTCTGTATATGGTGACCTTCTATTTGGTGACTGTGTACTAGCTTTATTAAAGCCTTCCCAGACATTGCAACTCAGAACTAATTATTTCTTTGTAGTGGATGGTGCTTTCTCCCAGTACTGATCCTTTGTGTTGTCTACCAGATTTAAGGATCACAGTGCAGCTATGGATAGCGAACCAAACTCTGGAACGTCTTCTGTGTCAACAACTGCCAGTAGCACTACCACCACCACCATCACCACATCCTCCTCTCGAATGCAGCAACCACAGATCTCTGTCTACAGTGGCTCAGACCGACATGCTGTTCAGGTATCTCAGCTATACGCGTGGGGAGGTCAAGGCTAAAGATGGCATACTGTTTTGTGCCTAAGTCAGTTGTACGTGTTGATTCATAGCCTAAGATAGTAGAATTGTAACAGTTCAGGTTGGGAAAGTAGCTCAGTGGCTGAGTGCTTGCTAGACTGTGTTTGATCTCTAACATTGCCAAAAACCAAGTAAAAGAAAAATAATTAAGACCAATAAAGTTATTTACTAATTGTACTGCCGAGAGGGCTTAACACTTGTCCACCTTATAAGATTATGTGTCAGGAAAATTACAATTGAATGCCTCTTAAGTGTTGCTGTAAGAGTGAAAATATGATTGTTACATATTTATGATAGCTGCTTTTCTGGATCATTTTATACTTGAGCCCACCAGGCAACTTACAGAGAGAGAACTTCTCACTTTCAGGTGGTATAAGAACACAAAGCAGGAAAGCTCGACAGCTTCTTGGGGTAGAGAAGGAAGAGAATATTTTGAAAAATTTTTATGTAGTCACTTAGTTGAGAAAGTAAAATCGATTTGGTTGAACTTTATACCAATAGAGACAATAAAGTATTGTTTTAAAAAGACTTAAGTGTTGCAGTCTGATGGGTTCTTTGTAAACTCTGTGTGCCCTTGGGCGAAAGATATAATCATCTCCTTGAGTCCCAGGAAATGGTAAAATGAGGATAACACTGTGTACTTTTATCAGTTACCATGAGAGTTAAGTGAAACATCTGGAACTGTGTGGGGACGTTATAGGTCACTAATAAATGATGGTAGTGTCAGTCTATTGAACGCTTTATGTGCCAAGCATTCAATCAATGCTTTCCTTGTGTGGATTATTTTGTTTAATCCTCACTAGGCCTCTATACATCAGGCATCTTACAAATGGGAAAACCAGTATTTTAAATAGGCTAAAAAAATCCAAACTCACGTTGCTGCTAGGTCTTCTGAATTCAGCTTCTGCCGTTAGCTACTCTGTGTTCTTGCTGCTTCTATGTTACTTGCCTTCATTTTATAGGATCCTCAATTGCATTCTTTAAAGTTGTTTTTCTTTTTATCTTTTTTTTTAGTGCCGGGAATCAAAATATTCTTTAATAATTGCATTATTTACTGTGCTACATTACTTCCTGTGCTCTGTTCTTTCATGGTAGACAGAGAACTGTTGGAGACCTAGTCAGCTTAGCAGAAATTCAAACTTGGATGCACAGTATGCTTTTAATGCCTTCCTTTTTCTCTGTGGTGAGTGATACATGGAAGGATATTATATTGAAGAGCATATGGATGATATGATATTTGACTATGCTATTCTTTCATTTATCTAGCTTATTCACTTAAGCTGGATAAATTTATAAATGAAATGTTACTTAGAGACATTGCAGGTGCTGATATGTCTCACAGGAAGCACAAACTCTAGTTATTACAGATCATTGAATTACCTCATCTAAGACAGGTTTTCTTTGTGTAGACCCGGCTGTCCTGGAACTAGCGCTGCAGATCTACTTGTCTCTGCCTCCCGAGTGCTGGCATTAAAGGCATGTGCCGCCACTGCCCAGACTTAATTGTTCTTTAACTTTCAAGCTTTCTTTTTTAGTCATATGGGTTTTCTTCACCCTGGTTTCAATAATAAGAATGGTGTATAGTGCCTTTAACTTGTGATTATAGTGCCAGGTATCTGTGGTGAATAGACTATACTGACATGGGTCATCACTATGCTGAGAGAATTAGGCCTCAAGTCAACTATTCACTTGCTTTTGAGTGTGAGTTCCTAGAAATTAGTTATGGAATTAGAAGATCATATGTGGATTTATCTTACCAAAGAGAAACACTGTAGTTCTGAGTCATTTAGTGTTTTATCCATACTCTTCTGCTGTGAGGACTCAACTAGGAATCTTGAGAAGAGTTCATGGTTTTATGTCAGACATCCTGACATACTGTGAGTAGAGTAGTCTTACTCCGTTGCTACTGTGAAAACGCTACTGCGGTGCTCAGATTACAGCTCTGTGCTGTCACAGAGGGCACACTGAGGCAGTCTGACTTCTCCTTTGAACAGATGGAAGGAGGATTTTTCTATTGTCTTTTTAGAATACTTGACCTCTCTATGTAAGCTCAGAATTTACATCTATTAACAGTTACTGTAATTGATGATTTTTATGAGTTTACTTTTAGCGGAATTACTCTATTATATTAAAAATTTGGACTTATTTGTGTGAGAGTGTTTTGCCTGCATGTATGCATGTCTACCAAGTGCATAAAGTACCCAGGAAGGCCAAAAAGGGTGTCCAGTCCTCTAGAACTGGAGCTATGGATGGTTGAGGACCCCCACAGTGGGTGCTGGGGACTGAATCTGGGTCTCAACAGCTGAGCCATCACTCCGCCCTGTCTACAGTTTGAATGTGTTTGCCTGCATGTATATATGTGTACCATGTACGTGTCACTTACCCTCCGGAAGATGGTGTCAGATGCTCTGGAACTGCAGGTCTAGTGGCTGTCAACTGCCACATGGTGCTGGGAACCACACTCAGGTCCTTAACTGAGCCAGCCCTCCAACTCTAGGAGCTTTTAAAATAAATGCTCTTCCACAAAAGTCCCAGAAGCTGGCAACACGGCTCAGCAGATAAAGGCATTTGTCCTCTTTCCTGACAGCCTGAGTTTGATTCCCAGAGCTCACATGATGGAAGGAGGGAACCGGCTCCTTCTTGTCAACTGTCCTCTGACCCCACACACATGCCATGGTACATGAGTACTCAAATAAAGGAATACAATTTCTAAAAGAAGATTAAGACTGTTCCTTTGTGGAAACAAAAATCATATATTTTTTTAAAAATTAAAAAATTATTGAGTCCTTTTTAAAGAGAAGTGCCTTTTTTTTTTTTTTTTTTTTTTTTTTTTTTTGAGACAGGGTTTCTCTATGTAGCCCTGGATGTCCTGGAACTCGCTCTGTCGACCAGGTTGGCCTTGAACTCACAGAGATCCACCTGCTTCTGCTTCCCAAGTGCTGAGACTAAAGGTGTGTGCCACCACTGGCCAGCTGAGAAGTACCTTTTTAATTTTATAGAATGTTCAAACCAGACACCAAAAGTCATTGCTAACATACCTTATCATCTCCTAGACTATTTCAGAAATTTTAAGACCAAATGGTATCCCACTCAAAATTATTTTCTTCACCTTGTAATGTACTGGTACTTCATATTATATAGCTTTATATTTATGTAATACAGAATCACTAGGTATACTTGTAGCAGTTTATATTAAAATTAATATTCAAGTTCAGTTTAAAGTTAAAATTCACTTCTTTAGCCCGTTTTATGTACTTGCTGGTGGTCATTGCATGTCTGTATTACTGTTTGCAATGGCTGCATGGTGAAAGTACTCAGTATACATATGCCCTGAAGCCTACCAAGTTGCATACAGAAAGGCTATAAAACTCAAATTCTTACTGCTAGTGTAGGAAGGGTTATTTTCCTAGTTAGTAGTAGTAATCTTTTGGATCTTTGTCTGTCCAAAAGTTGTAAATTACTATATCCTTTTAACTAGTAAGTTTTTGGACTACTAATGAGATTTAAGGTTTCACACATTTGTCCCATTCCACTTTAAGTGAATGATCTGGGCAATTTAACCTAATAATGATATGTAACAGTAGGTAAATGTGTCAATAAGCTTAATGATGTTGAATATTAAAGTAGTAAAAACTTAAGCTGCCTCTTTTTATTCTATGTTTGTGGTTAATCTAATGGTTGATCTGGAATTACAATGGAGTCTGTGCTCAGCATGCATAAAACCTCAGAAGCAGAGGGGAAGACAGAGGTTGAGATGCTGGTTTGACATAGGGTCCCTTACCTTATCACAGGTAATTCAACAGGCATTGCATCGCCCCCCCAGCTCGGCTGCTCAGTACCTCCAGCAGATGTATGCGGCTCAGCAACAGCACTTGATGCTGCACACAGCCGCTCTTCAGCAGCAGCATCTAAGCAGCTCCCAGCTCCAGAGCCTTGCTGCTGTTCAGGTGAGAAAACAAGTGGACAATTTGTGAGGCCACAGTTTATGTTAGATATGGCAATAACCTAAAATAAGTAGGCAGGTGTTCATTCTGTCAGCATTCTGAAATGTCCTGTGATTGTTTTGCTAGAGGAGATAGGTTAGTTGGCTGAGAAATACAAGTTCACTGGGAGGAGAATGGATATGTTTTATATGTTGCCTTATTGCTCTTTATCTAAGCTAGATAAATGCTCTACATATGGTATACTTTTGTCTCTAAAATTTTAGGGACAACATTGAATACTTAAGGTTATATGGGCTACATTTTTTTTTAACCAAAAGTAAGTTTTTTTTCTTACATAGGTAGTTTATATTCATTAAAGAACATCAAGTAGAGTAAAATTACAAGAGGATGATGGAGTAGAGTTGCTCATTCTTTCTACACCTGTTGTCACTCCTGTTCTTCAGAGCTGGCTATGTGATAGTATACAGATGTGTGTATGTGTACCATTCTAAAAAGTGAAATTAGTTCTCTATGTGATAGTATACAGATGTGTGTATGTGTACCATTCTAAAAAGTGAAATTAGTTCTATCAATAACTTAATTTTATGATTAAAGGTTTGTATTTTAAAATACATTTTCATTGATATTATACAGTTTAAATTTTTTGTGAGATTTAGTTGTTAATCTTAAATCTCACCAGAAAAATCTTAATTCTAAGAACTTGAAAAAGAATTCTGATATCTGTAGGTACCAGCTTTTGCTTCTTTTCAATAGTGTACTTTTGAAATTATTATTATTATTATTTTGAAATTTGGTTTTTCTGTGTAGCCCTGGCTGTCTTGGAATTCACTTTGTAGACCAGGCTGGCCTTGAACTCACAGAGAATCTGCTTGCCTTTGCCTCCCAAGTGCTGGGATTAAGTGCACCACTGCTGCACTACTGGCTGGCTAATTTCTCTCTCTCTCTCTCTCTCTCTCTCTCTCTCTCTCTCTCTCTCTCTCTCTCTCTCTCTCTCTCTCTCTCTCTCTCTCTCTCTCTCTCTCTCTCTCTCTTTCTCTCTCTCTCTGTTTTTCAAGACAGGGTTTCTCTGTGTAGCCTTGACTGTCCTGGAACTCACTCTGTAGACCAGACTGGTCTCAATCTCATGGGATGGGATTAAAGGCATGCACTGCCACTGCCTGACGTCATTTTCTTTTTTTAACAAAATTATTAGTGGTTTTGGTATATTGTGTGTGATTTACACATCAGCATGTGTGTATATCCAAGTGTGCAATGTGTGTACCCATGTATGTGGTTGTGGAGGCCAGAGCAGGATACCAGGCATCTTTCTTAGTTTTCTTTCTCTGTGGCTTTCCCATCTGATTGCCTCGAAACAGGGTCTTTCAGGAACCGGAAAGTCACTGTTTTAGCTAGACTACAGCCTGCAGGATCTCCCTGCCCTTGTCCTTCAATATTGGGTTTAAAGGAATGTAAAGCCATGCCTGGCTTTTTATGTGAATGCTAGGGATGCAAACTCAGTGTCCTTGGACTTAGAGAGCAACTGTTCTTACTCACAGAGCCGTCTCTACAGCTCTTAGTGTCTTTTTCATGATGGAGTAGGAAACTCAACTTGAAAGACAATAGTAGAGTGAAATTGGTGAGTTGTTCTTACAGTCTGGAGAGTGATCTATCATAGTCATATTTGCTGCTGTTGTTTTTTGGTTGAGACAGGGTTTCTTTTTGTAATCTTGGCTGTTCTGTAACTCACTCTGTTGTAGACCAGGTTGGCTTCAAACTTACAGCTCCACCTCCTCTGCCTCTGGACTGCTGGGATTAAAGTTGTACTCTACCCAACCTGGCATATATATATTTGTTTTTTTGAATGAATGAGTTTATTAAGTAGGTAGTAAGCGAAAGTAAAAGGATAGATAAATAGAAAGAAAACATCAAATCAGGTGTTCAAAACAGCCAGCAGGGCAAAGCCCCATTGAGGCAGTTGGCGTTCCTAACAGTGTCCTGGATGGAGAAGTGTCCCCTGAGCTAAGGCTCCCAAGTACCAGCACAAGTAACAGGGGAGAAGTAATGCCATCAGATCAGGGGCTTGCACATATCAGCAGAGCTCCCATTTGACATGTCCAGTTGGAGCAGAGTATCTGGATAACACAATCAAATTGGTGCTTACAACTTCCAGCAAAAACCAACAGAGAAGTGAGGTAGTCATTAGATTTTCCAGTTGAGCTTTCTCTGCATGGTTGAACTCCACCCACACTCCTTTCCCCATGGCTGAACTTCCAGATTTTCTTTCCCTTTTGTTTTAATATTTACTTATTTAAGGATTTTATGTGTGTGTGTGTGTGTGTTTGTAAGCACATCTGTATGCTAGTGCCTGTGGAGGCCAGAAGAGGGCATTGGATCCCTTAGAGCTGGATTTATAGGCAGTTGTGAGCCACTCTCCATGGATTCTGGGAATCCAACTCTGCTCTATATGCATGAGAAGTCCTCTTAACTACTGAGCCATCTTTCCTGTTCCAGTGCGGTTACTTTAATCTCATGGAATAAACAATAATAACATTGGATGGGGATGGTTTGTATTCTAGGGTTTTTTTTTTTTTTTAACTCAGGCTTTTTGCTTCTTCCATTGTGTCACAGAGTTAGTGAGGTCCAGCCCATTCCCAGGCAAGGGGTCTTAGTAGATACTTGACATAATAAACATGCTTGGGGCTGAAGTTCGTGGGGGGCAATTCTACTTCTAGTACTAGCTGCTCAGTGACTTCAGATAACATATGACAGTTTACCAATCGAATGTACTGTATAGGAGTGTAGATAACAAGATTAGGGTCATCAAGATGGCTTAGAGGGTAAAGGCACCTCCTGCTAAGCTTGGCAACAAATTTGATGAACTGAGTTTGATCCCTGGGACCCACACAGTAGAAGTTGTGTTCTGTGAAGCACATGTATACAGTAACACAAAATAAATTCATACGGAAATGGAGAAGTGAGACTAGACAGTAGGGCCTTTGTTTTCATCTTTGCTTTTTCTTTAAAAATGGTCATGGTCAAGCCATGTTGTGAAATTATTTGTTTCATACATAGACTTGGAGAATTTTTGTTGTGGCTCAAGGAGGTGTTTGGTTCCCTCCCCAAGGAAGTGTTTAACTAAGTTTTTATAGAAATATTATAATAGTTTTATTATTTTAGGCAAGTTTGTCCAGTGGAAGACCATCTACATCCCCCACAGGAAGTGTCACACAACAGTCAAGTATGTCCCAGACATCTGTAAGTATCCTAAAATTTCTCCTGGATTTAAAAATTTTAATTGTTGTTTTCTAAAAGTGAACCTGCTATTTATGAAGCTGCTATGTAACTAATGAGTGCTGGAAATGGGAGTAATAAGGTTGGAGTGTTGGTGGTTGTTTTTTACTCTTTACTCCATGCTTTAGCTCTTTGGGGGTCCATCACCCAGTTCCCAAATAAAACAAACACATGGAGTCTTATTATTATTTATGAATGCCCAGACTTAGCTTGGTTAATTTCTAACTAGCTTTTCCTAACTTATTCTATTTACCTTTTGCCTCTGGACTTTTACCTTTCTCTATTTCTGTATATCTTTTCTTTCATTCTTATTCTGTGACTGGCTGTGTAGCTGGGTGACTGGTCCCTTTTTTTTCTTCATTATTGATCGTCTATCTTTCTTCCAAGATTTTTCCTCCTATTTATTCTCTCTGCTTGCCAGCTCCAACTACCCTTTCTCTTGCCTTGCTATTGGTCATTCAGCTTTTTTTTAAGACCAATCAGGTGAGTTACTCAAAGGAACACAGCTTCACAGAGTTAAACAAATGAAACAAAACACAAATGTTCCACAGTATAAACAAATGTAACATATCTTAAAATAATATTATGCAACACCGGAAAATAAACTTTTGAAAATCTGAGGGTTTTTTTTGCTGGTCAGTAGTGGTGTATACCTTTAATCCCAGTGCTTGGGAAGCAGCAGCAGGTGAATCTTTGTGAATTAAAGGCCAGCCTGGTCTACAGAACAAGTTCCAGGACAGTCCAGGTTATACAGAGAAGCTCTGTCTCAAACAAACAAACAAACAAACAAACAAAAAACGAAAGAAAGAAAAGTGTTTTTTCTCATTATGATTTTATGTATGAGGTACTTACAGAAACGGTAATTCCAAGTGAAAATGTCTTTAATTGACATAATTAATGCTACTTGTCCTAAGCCAGACTGCATTGTACTAAAACTTTGTATGGCTGGTTGGGTAAAAGAAGTATGATGTTAGGTAAAAATAAACGTCATGTTTACTGTTGGGTATCTAGCTGTTCCACAATGGCCAAAGTAGCTTACAAAACTCAGTTCAACAGTGGAGAGACATGTAGTTGTCTTTTTCTCTGGGCTGCCAGCTGCCAAATAATGACATGGAGACTTATTAATTATGAAAGTTTAGCCTTAATTATGAAAGTTAGCTTAGGCTTATCCCATTAGCTTCTATAACTTAAATTAACTCATTTATATTAATCTATGTTTTGCCACATGGCTTTTACCTGTCTTCATTCTGTGTGTCTGATTCATTCCATAGCATCTTTCTTACACCTAGATTTATCTCCTACTTCTCTCTTTCTGCCTGGAAGTTCTGCCTATACCTCCTGCCCTGCTATTGGCTGTTCAGTTCTTGATTAAACCAGTCACAGCAATAATATATCTTCCCACAGTATACACATATCCCACAACAGAGACAGGCTGTGGTAACAGAATAGAAATCTCTAGGTAGTAATAATGAGCAGTGAATTATTAGTCTACTCATGCTCTCCTGGTGTCCTCCATCCTCTCTGACTCCTTCAACCTTTTCTCCCCTCTTCCTCGGGGCTTCCCAAGATCTGAGGGGGAGGGACCTGATGAGACCTCCAATTTAGACAATCTCTCTGCATAATGTTTGGTTGTGGGTCTCTGCACCCACTCCCATCTGCTGCTGGAGAAAGGGTCTATGATGAAGACTGGACAAGGCACCAACCTATGAGTATAATAGAATATCATTAGGAATCATTTCATTTCTTTCTTTTTGAACAGTCCTGTTTTGTTCTTCCCTAGATATCTGGGCTAGCCACTCTCCAATTCCTAGCCATCTAGGCAGCATAGGATGGGGGCTTCCTCTTGTGGTGTGGGCCTCAAGTTAAACCAGACATTGGTTGGCCACTCCCATATATTCTGAGCCACCATTGCCCTAGCACATCTTGCAGGCAGGACAGAGGGTTTTGTGGCTGGGTTGGTGTCTAGGTTTCTCTTTCTGTAGCATGCAGAGTACCTTCCTAGGCCAAAGAGACTAGACTGTAGGGTTGAAGTCTCCATGCAGGTACCAGCTCGACCTTACTACCTTCAGTGAGTTGTAAGGTTGTTGTCCTCAGCAATTCCCCCTTCTCCCATCAGTTTTTGGAGAGCAACCCTCTGTCCTAGCATCAGGCTCGGTTGTTTAGGGATCTCCATGGGACCTCCTCAGCCAACAACTCAACTGAGAATGCAACCCAGTCCCACCGCTGGAAGCTTTGCCTTGTTACAGAAGATGGCCAGTTCAGACTCCATGTACTTCATTAGTACGAGTCTTCACTAGGGTCACAGTCATAGATTCTGGGGAATTTCCACTGCACTAGGTTTACAGACCAACCCCCAAATGCCTCCCAGTTCCTGCTGTCTCTCCCTGTACTTTCTCCCTCCACCCTCCCTTTGCCTGATCCCTCCCACTCCAGTCCCCACCTACTCCCAGTCCACCCTCAAAACCTATTCTGTTCCCCTTCCCAGGGAGATCCATGAAACCTCCTAGAGCTTTCCTCCTTACCTAGCCTCCCTGAGTCTCTGGATTGTAGCTTGATTATCACTTACTTAACACCTAATGTCCACTTATAAGTGAGTGCATACTGTGTCTGTCTTTCTGGGTCTGTTTACCTCACTCAGGATGATTTTTTTTTTCTAGTTCCATCATTTGCCTGCAAATTTTATGATGTCATTTTTTTAAACAGCTAAATACTCCAGTTTGTAAATATACTCATTTTCTTTATTCGCTCTTCAGTTGAGGGACATCCAGGTTGTTTTCAGTTTCTGGCTATTATGACTAAAGCCACAATGAATGTAGCTGAGCAAGTGTCCTCGTGGTAAGGTGGAGTATCCTTTGGGTGCATGCCTAAGGTTTCTATAGCTGGGTCTTGAGATAGATGGATTCCCAATTTTCTGAGGATCCACCATATTGATTCCCAAAGTAACTGTACAAGTTTGCACTCCCACCAGCAATGGAGAAATGTTTCCCTTGCTCCACATCCTCACCAGCATGAGCTTTGGCCAAGATTGAATCTCAAAGTAGTTTTGCTTTGTATTTCCCTGATGGCTAAGGATATTGAACATTCCTTTAAGTGTTTCTTAGCCTTTTGAGATTTCTCTGTTGAGAATTCTGTGTTTAGGTCTGCACTCCATTTTTAATTTGATTAATTTTTTTTTTTGGGTATCGCATTTCTTGAGTTCTTTATAGATTTTGGATGTTAGTCCTCTGTCATTTATGGAGTTGGTAAAAAATCTTTTCCCATTTTGTAGGCTGCCATTTTGTCCTTTTGATGGTGTTCTTTGCCTTACAGGAGCTTTTCAGTTTCATGAGGTCCCATTTATTAATTGTTGATCTTAGTGCCTGTGCTATGGGTTCAGGAAGTTGTCTCCTGTGACAATGCATTCAAAGCTATTTTCTATTTTTCTTCTATCAGGTTTAATGTGTCTTGTTTTTGTTTTTTATTTTTTTTCGAGACAGGATTTCTGTGTGTAGCTTTGGCTGCTCCTGGAATTTGTTCTATAGATTAGACTAGCCTTGAGCTCTTAGAGATCCACCTGCCTCTGCCTCCCGAGTGCAATGTTTTATGCTGAGGTCTTGTTTTTCCCCTCTTTCAACTCCTCACAGAAACTCTCTACCTCTCTAGCCATGCAACTTTATTATGTTCTTTCTTTACAAAAATCAGAAAACAGAAAAAAAAACCCAAACAAGAAATATGACCAACCCCCCATTTTCATTTACTCAAACAAGAAAGAAATTGAAAAAAACAAAAAAAAAAAAACCAAAAAAACAACCCCAAAACAAAGCAAAATGAAATAAAAAGTCCACAGAAATACCACTGAGTTCCTTTTGTATGAGCTGGCTCCTCCTGGGCATAGGGATCTGATGTCTTCTTTTGGCCTCTGTAGGCACTGCGTTCACCTGCCATCCCCACCAACTCCCCCACATATATACATAATTAAAAAGAAATCTCTTTTAAAGAAAATTCGAGTTATGAGAAATTCAAGTTATGATATCATACCCAGTGATGTCACTGTTATTATGATGTATTATGAAAGCTTGACTGAGTAGACATGGTTTTTCATGTTAAACTCTGTAACTGGCTAGTGATGTAACATGGGTCAAGCAAGCTATTTAATTTGCCAGCACTCCAAGCTTTTGTGATACTATCTATTTAGATTCTTTAGTTTTTCTTCATCCACATATCCCTAAATTTAGATTAAAGAGCAAAGGTTCAGTAAATGATGATATGGACCAAATTGTGTCTTCCCAAAATTCATATGCTGAAAACCTAACCCATGTTTCTATACTAGAAATAGCCTCTGTAGTGAACTGATTTAAAGTTAAATGATGTCTTAAGGGTAGAGCTCTCATATTAGAGGAGTTCTCATCAGAAGAGGAAGTTTCCAGTGATCTCTCTAGCATGGGAGAATATAGAAGGTAGCAGGCTGCTGACTAAGAAGAGAGCCCACACTGGAAACTTAATGGGCCACCACTTTGGTTTGGACTCCCACACTCCCCACAATTGTAAAAAATAAATTTCTGTTTTTAAAGATTGTTGTGGTGGAATTGGACATAGACCTTCATGCATCCTTATGCAGCTCTACCACTGAGCACAGTCCCTGTTCTACATTTCTGTTGCTCAAGTTGTTGGGTTGTGGTGTTCTCTTATGGCAGACTAAGACAGACCAGGCTTTGGATCTTATCTTAAAGTTAGCCAGACAGATCCATTTTGAGTTTTCAATAATATTGTTTTTGAAGATAGGATTTTATTAAATAGAGTACCGGTGATTTAGATGTTAATTCATGACTCTTTCAGGATTTCATAAGTAGTTTGTTTTAGTTAGTGTTCTATTGCTGTGAAGAGATACCATGACCATGACAACTCTTATAAAGGAAAACATTTAATTGGGACTGGCTTACACTTCAGAGATTTAGTCCATTATTGTCATGGTGGGAAGCCCCGCAGTATGCAGACAGACATGGTGCTGGAGAAGTAGCTGAGAGTTATACATCTGGATCAGCAGGCAGCAGGAAGAGAATGAGACACACTAGGCTTGGTTTGAGTTTCTGAGACCTTAAACCCCACCTTCAGTGACACACTTCCTCCAATAAGGCCACACCTCCTAATAGTGCTAGTCCTTGTGAGCCTATGGGGCTGTTTTCATTCAAATGACTACATTTTACATGTATGATAAAAAATATGTGTCTATTACATTGAAGGGTGAATGGTAGGGATAATGAGCATCAACTAGAATACAGATAATTTTAGTATAGGCTTTTTGTTGTTGCATCTATAAGCACAATCCTTTTTGTTGTGTGTCATCTATAAGCACAATCCTTTTAGGATAACAATCCCATTTTCTGGAATTGGGTGATAGAAGAGGGTCTGATCCTGACCTAATAATAATGAGATTTTTGGAATGGTGGTTATGGGAAGGCAGCCAATTATCTATTGTTCAGCATTGTGCTAGTTGTCTTGAGTGTGCACACGAGTTACAGACCCTTTCTTCATGGACAGCAATATTCATTTGAAGAATTATGTCTAGACATGGAAATTATTTTAAGTATATAATCAAGTGATAATTGGCATGGTGGTGAACAGGAAAGAATTTGAAGGGATTGTTATATATAAAGTAGTTTTATATGGGATGTTAGTTTTTACAAAAAGTTTTCAGAATTCATTCTCAAAACAGGTCAGTTTCAGGTCAACTGAATGCCTTGCCATATCACAGAGTTTATGAGTCCTATTTAGGGCAAGGGCAGGTTGAAAGATTTAGTCAGCGGGTACCAGCCTAGAATTAGGGGTTGGGAGAGTCTGCCTGAGTCTGGAGGAGGGGTAGCACAGGTAATGTGAAGGGTTCCTTCTCTTTAACATCTTTTCTTACTGTGTTGTGACTATCTCCTGTGTGTCTCACTTGGGTCTCATAAAGGGAGTTTCATGTGCAGATATTTCAAGTTGATGTTTCCTCTGGTGGAAGATTGCTGGAGAGCCCTGCTTCACTATTTTGTTCCATCAAATTTAATGTGTGGATTGTATTAAAGGGTTATGCAGGGACTGTCAGTTTGGATTTTATACCCACACATGGTAAATGCCTGAAAGTTTTGATTCTCAGAGGTTTCTCCCTCCACCCTTCCAGTATGTCAGGGCAGGTATAACAGCTTCCTAGCTGCTTCTTAGAATACAGTAGAGCTTTTCACATATTGATCAGCCTTTCTCAGGATCCTGTCTCAAAATAGGACTTCATTTCCAGCTTTACAGTATAATAGGCGAACATGGACAATGCATCTTTGTAGACTTAATAAACCTAGAGTTGCCTTGGTGTCAGCTGTTGCTGATGTGTCTGGGTTTGCACTTCTTACTGACACCTGGGCATTTTCCTTCCCTGCTCCCTTGTGTACTTTAGATCCATTCTTATTTTCATGTCATTTGAGCATTTCAGAGAGTGTCTTTGAGCACATGGATATGTATTGTATTCACTTCCTGAATCAGAAGTTTAATAAGCTATTTTTAAAATGTCATTTTCTACTTTTTTCCACAAAAAGATTTAAGGTGAGGTCGAGTTATGTTATTCTCGAAATTTTTTAAGAATGAACGATACATGAACATGATATGACTTGAAAAGGTGAGCAAGGATGTAATAATGTGTCTCTCTCTTCCCTGTTTTTCCACCTACCTCTTTCCATTTCCCCTTCACAGATCCAAGCAAGTTGACAGTTTCTAATGTGTTTTTCAAGGATCTGTTAGACTACACACTTTTCTTTTTGAGCTAAAATTTTATTATGTAGCTCAGGCTGGCCAGGAAGTGGAAGTGTAGCCTAGCTCAGACTCACCACAAACTAACAGTTCTTCTGCCCCAGCTTTTCTAGTGCTGGGATAACAAGCTTGTGCCACCCATTCAGCCACATACTCATGTTTTCCCCGTTTGCTTTTTTTGTTTAAACCAAATCTCATGTACTCCAGGGCTGGCCTGTAACTCACAAGCCTCCTTCCTCAGCCTCTTTCTAATTAATTCTTTTTTTTTTTTTGGTTTTACGAGACAGGGTTTCTCTGTATTGTTTTGGAGGCTGTCGGTCCAGCCCGGCCTCGAACTCACAGAGATCCGCCTGCCTCTGCCTCCCGCGTGCTGGGATTAAAGGCGTGCACCACCACCGCCCGGCAAAGTGTTATACAGGACTGGTAGTTTAGGAACGCTAGATTTGCAAGGGTTGCAAATAAAGGAGTACCAGTCACAATCTAATTAATTCTTAAGTGTAACTTGACATTTAAAAAAATGTTTGTTCATTAATTTTGTAGCCAATATTCATGTTGTTTCTGCTTTGCAGATAGCAATTGTATTTTCTTCTGTTTTTAGAGCTTTTAAGTTAAAAACATTTCAGTGATTATATGTTAACCTGCATGTTTTAATATATGGTTGGATTATTTGTGCTTTAACTTTTGTTCACTTCAGAAGCTCCTCAAAATGTGAGAGTGTGACAAAGCAATGTAGTTAAATTAGAATTTTAAAGTTACCCTGTGGAATGTTAAAGTAATTGGATATTAACCCTAATTTTGGGGAGGTAGTAGGAATGACGTTTTTGTTTGTTTGTTTTTTGAGACAGGGTTTCTCTGTGTAACTTTGGAGCCTGTCCTGGAACTCACCATGTAGTCCAGGCTGGCCTCAAACTTTCAGAGAGATCTGCCTGCCTCTACCTCCCTAGTGTTGGGATTAAAGGTGTGTGCCACCACCGCCCTTCAAGTAATGACATTTTTAAGATGCTAGAAGTCTTATGAAATGTGTATATGTTTGAAAGTTGTTCTAGTCAGTAAGCAGTCTATGCCGTGTGCTTATATGCAGTCTGTGCTTATATACAAGTAGTTGCCCAAAGTGAAGCGTTTTATCAAAGATCAGAGCCTATCCTTGGGGTGTCTACCACTGATGGTCTTACTTTAGCTTGGTGAAGATAGGATCATGGAGGCAAGATCTGGAAGCATAACCTGTTATATTTCCTTCCTTAGATCAACCTCTCCACTTCTCCTACGCCTGCTCAGTTGATGAATCGTTCCCAGGCTTCCAGTTCTACTAGCGGCAGTATTACCCAACAGACGATGTTACTAGGCAGTACCTCCCCTACCTTAACAGCCAGCCAAGCTCAAATGTATCTCCGAGCTCAGATGGTAAGATACAAGATACCAGCTTTTCAGAGTCTAAGGACTGGGGAGTACAGATGTTTCTGGGTTTGATGTAATAGGCATTTTTAATACGTAAGTAGTATTTAACAAGTGAGAGCATGTGCATGTGTGTGCTCAGCCTTTAACACTTACAAATATGCATAAATTCTACCTTGAATTCAGAGGCCTTCTTGGTAACAATATTTTTTAATACTGTTACTGATTTTAAACCCTTTTTTTCCTATTTTGACATCTCTACAATTGAAGAGCTTTTTATAACTGATGACGTTTTACAGTTTTAGTACTTATACAGTGATATATAAATCATTTATTCTATTGACATTGATGATTTATGTCCAAGGATCTTCTGAAATCTGGATTGGAGTTCTGGTAGTTTTTCAGATAATTCATAGCTTTGGTTATTACTGTCTCAAATTCTGTTGCATTCTTAGGTGTACTTCAGGTTTTTTTTTATTATTATAGTAATGTTAATTGATAATTCTATAATTAGGTACCTACTGTTTTCCTGATTTAATTGATGAACTTTCTTAGGCCATGCAGACATTGGCGACATAATTTTGCACAGCTAGGCAAATGTTTTTTGTGTGTGTCTGTGTGTGTGTGTGTGTGTGTGTATGTATGTATGTATTTCATTAGTTAATTTTGCAGTACCAGGGATTAAAACTGGGCCTTCATGAATAGTAGACAAGCATCCTATCAATATACAACATCTTCAGCCTCCTTAATATGCAGATTTTTGGCCAATGAACTGAATATGTATTTGATCCCTACTTCAATTAAGATTGGAAAGTGTTCGGTCATATTTCTGTCAGGAAGTGATGATATGACAACTTTTTTTCTTTTTTTTTTCCTTTTTTTCATTTTTCAAGATAGGGTTTCTCTGTGGCTTTGGAGGCTGTCCTGGAACTCGCTCTGTAGACCAGGCTGGCCTTGAACTCACAGAGATCCTCCTGCCTCTGCCTCCCGAGTGCTGGGATTAAAGGCGTGCACCACCAATGCTTGGCGATGTGACAACTTTTATGTGCAAATTGTAAACATTACTTTTCTCTTTTGGATTACTTTTCTCCCATGAAGTTGTCTTTAATAATATGATTTGAACCATTTGAAATATTTTTTGTTATGTTTTGTTTTTGATGATTTTGACCTTTAAAATGGGCAAAACAGTAATATTTCCCTTTTTGGGTGGAATGTTTTAGGCTACATGCACCAAAAGTAAGAAAATTGGTTGGTGAATTTGCGTAGGTTCAGTAAGTGAGTAAAGAATTACAATGTAAAAGTCTAGAGGGAAAGAAGGGGCTGAGGAAAGATGTGTGGGGGTAATTAGAAGCAGGGATAGTGAATATGATCACTATGTGTGTGCATGCATGAAAATCATAATGAAACCCAGTACTGTATATTTAATACACACTTGTAAAAGTTCTAGATCAGAAAAGCTCCCTAATTGATCATTTTAGTTTAAATACCAGGAAGGTAGTGAATACTCCTTGAAATGACTTTAAAATAGTGTAGCTACACACTCTAAAACCTATCATTATTTACTAATTCCAGTTAGACTGAGTAGACTGTATTGTCTTAGAAATTAATGGTACTTGTTTAATATTAAAAGTTTGAAACAAGATGGTGATGTACAGGTTGTTTATTTCTTTTGTTGTTTTGGTGTGAAGGCCTTTGGTTGCTCTGTTTTAATATTCTAGCATTTACATTTAGAACAAATAGCCCTTTACAAAAAGGGTTAACATCAAGAGCAACCTTACTTTGTGCTATGACTGGTCCCTCGTAGCTGAGAAAGATTGTAGTGTAGTACGTGGCACTGTTACTGTGTGGACTGAAGAGATGTTTTGGTATTTCTTTTCCTGTTTCTTCACAAAAATTAATCTATATCCTAACAGTTTTATTTTCACTTTCCATCTTAGGAATCCTGAGATAGTAGCTTTTATTTGGGACAAAATTGGGTTGGAGGATCTCATCTCACCAAAGCACATTCTTTTCTTTGAGTAGTTTTTCCCTACTCTCAGAATTGTGAGCTACTTCAAAGCTGTTGATGGCTTTTTGAGCTCTGTGATCACAACTTTGTTGTCGTGTGAAACCTTTTGCTTAGGAGGTAGTCCTAACTGGCATTGTCTCTCTGTCACAAAGTTCAGTCTCTTGCCTGCTTGCTACACACTGTGTGTGGGACATGTTCTTTAGTCTTAGGGTGTTATTTTTGGTTTTCTGTCTGTACAGCTGATTTTCACACCCGCTACCACTGTGGCTGCTGTGCAGTCTGACATTCCTGTTGTCTCGTCGTCATCGTCACCTTCCTGTCAGTCTGCAGCTGCTCAGGTGAGATTGTCTGTCACAGTGTGGTACTGGAGGTCTGGGTCTCAGTGGAAAGACGGTCACTGCATTCATGTCTCAGCTCCTCTGCTCAGAGTGCATTGCCATGCCTTTCAGGTGAAGTTCATAGAACACTGGCAACTTCAAGAGCATGCTTGTTTGTAGAGATGAGAAAAAATTAAACAGATTCAGATCAGTAGACGTGCATCCATCAAGTTAATGAAAGTTCTGATAATGACACCGTAGTTTTAGTTCCATTGTGTGCCATATTTCTTTTTTATGTGAGTTATATTCTTTTTGTAGATTGCCTTTGAAAGCAGTTATATAACAGATAAGTCAAAGTAGATGGTAATTTTAAGTTTAAAAATGAATTTAATCAAGCTACTTGAAGTTAAAAACTTAAGTAGAGTATTACTTTATTTGGTACTCTGGGAAAAAAATGAACCTTAATCTCTCTTATACACAAAAATAAAAGTAGAATGTACGCCTTAAGGTAAAAATAAAAACATTAGCCTTCCAGGAGAAAGCAGGACAGATTCTTTGCAAATCTAGGGTGGGCGAGGCTTCTTAGGGTCAAGAAAGATTGACTAGAAACAAAAATAGTGATAAACTGGACTTAATGAAACTAAAAATTATTTTGTAAAGAATCATTACAAAATGAGTATCTAGGCTACAGGCTGAGGATAACTATTCTCAATCTATGTATCTGACCCAAAGATTGTATCTACATTATAAAAACATTCCTATAGGTTAATAATTGAATCATAAGGTCAGTTACAAATGGAAAAAAGATTTGAAGAGATAGTTCACAAAAGACATTCGCTATATAGGGCAGGTATGGTGATATAAGCGTTTAATCCCAGCACTTAGGAGGCAGAGGCAAATAGAGCTCTCTGTGAGTTTGTGGTTGACTTGGTCTACATAGTGAGTTTCAGGACAGTCAGAAGTACATAGTGAGACTCTGTCTGAACAAACAAACAAACAAAAAGACAATATACAGAAGTCCAGTGAGTACATGATAAAATGTTCAGCATCATAGATCATTTTAGATGTGCATGTCAGAACTATAATGAGCATCATCAAACAATCATCTGGGTGGCTAACTAAATGAAGACTGACACTAAGCAATAGTTTATAATAGTTAAATAGTCTTTAAATGCTGACTGTATAAACAGATGGTGTCATGTTCATATAGTGGAATAGTTAGTACTCAAAAGTGAAAAGAGCAAATCATTGATACATCTCATAAACATTATGGCTAGCAAATGAAGCTAGACAGTGCTACAGCCTCTGTGATTCTATAGCTTTTAAATTCCAGGATAGGGAAAACTCTCCATAGTGAAAAAATTAGGTTAACAGAGGTAGGAAAAATTGGCTAGGAGGGATATTTAGTGTATTGGTTGGGACAGTGGTTATTGTCAAAACTTATGGGAAAGTTGCATCTTATTGTAAGTGATACCTCAGTAAATTTCATAAAAATCATTTAGATTGAGTAAACTTTAAGTGAAAATAATTGAGTAGACTATTATTTTATGTGATGCTATTTTGTTGTTTTTCATAGTAAATGTTTTAGATTTCATGACAGACATTCATACATTGGGTCGTTTTTGTTGTAAATATCTCTTGTTCATTTTTTTTTTTTCCTGAGACAGGGTTTCTCTGTAGCTTTGGAGCCTGTCCTGGAACTTGTTCTTTAAACCAGGCTGGCCTTGAACTCACAGAGATCCATCTGCTTCTGCCTCTTGAGTGCTGGGATTAAAGGCATGTGCCAGACTTTAACCTTTTTTGAGACAGCATTTTACTAGAAGCCTTGGCTGGCCTGGTACTTGGTGATTGCCTCAGGGCTTGAGCTTGAGACAGTGTTCTTGTCTCAGCTTCTTCAGTGCTGGGATTACAGGTATGAGTCAACGTGCCTGGTACATTTTATTTTTTGTTTCATATTTCAGCTCTCTGGTAAATGTAAGAAATGAGATAGTAGCGGGTTGTGGTGGTGCACACTTTTAATTCCAGTGCTTGGGAGGTGGATCTCTGTGAATTCGAGACCAGCCTGGTCTACAGAGTGAGTTCCAGGACAGCCAGGGCTATACAGAAAAACCCTGTCTCAAAAATCCAAAAGAAAGAAAGAAAGGAAGGGAAGAAGGAAGGAAAAGAGAAATGAGATAGTAATAATTAATATTCTTTGATTTTTTTCACAGAACCTCCGTGTATTGACATATTTAATAATAAAGACTAATTTTCTTGTGTTAGTTGTAAAGATTTTGGTTAGGTAAACTCAAGAGTTTTCCTAACTTGCTCCCTGACCCTTTGTAGTTCCTTAGCAGAGGCTGTTAGATAGCGATCACTAAATGCTAATTCAAGGTTATCCCTGCTAAATTCTGATTTCTTTACTATCTTGGAAATGATTCCTCAGTTGTTACAAGAGGCACATGAGGCAATTAGAAGTTACTTAGCACAGTGTTGCCACGTAATGAGATGTCTTATCTCCTGCTTGCTGTCTTTGACATTGTGTGAAGAGAAATCCCACATTTGGTTCTTAGCTTTCAAAAAGCTAGAAATGAAGAGATAATAATAAATAACCGTTTAAATGATTGACAGTTTTCATGATAAACAAGCTGCTTAGGAGATAATGTTTCTCTTTAATACTGTCTGGAGTTTAATTTGCTTACTGTTTTTCATGATGAAAACATTCTTATGAGTCTTTAATGCAGTTAATGTAGTTTGTGAAAGTGGTCTTCTGGATGTGGTCTGTGGCTGTGCTGGTCTGACTTGGTTAAGGCTTTCAGGGGACTGGAGGGATCTCTCTGTGAATACTGCTTTTGAATAAGACTGGCAGTGGTAGGTGATGCTGACCAACAAAGACACAACTTTGGGTCCAGTTGTTTTGTTTCTCAAGACAGGGTTTCTCTGTGTAGTCCTTGAACTCAGTCTGTAGACCAGGCTGGCCTCAAACTCTGACATCTGCCTGCCTCTGCCTCCCAAGTGCTGGGACTAAAGGAGTGTGCCACCACTGCCCCTTTTTCTTTTCTTTTTTACTTAAAAAAAATCAAGTCTGTAGTTTAAAAATTGTATCTTTTAAAATTGAGAGTATTGGATTTGTAGTTTAATGTTCTAATTTAAACTGCAAAAGTCAGTGTATTAGTTAATTTTTACTCAGTAAAAGCTTTTTTTCTTAGACACAGTCTCATTGTGTACTTCTGGCTGGCCTGGAGAACTGTATATAGATTAGGCTGGTCTCAAATTCACAGAAATGCATCTGCTTCTGCCTCCAGAGTGCTGGGATTAAAGGTGTATGTTACCATGACTGGCAAAAAAAGGATGTTTGTACAAGGAATGTTGGTTTGAAGAGAAATCAGCTTTTGCATTAAAAAGCCGGAAATTAAAGTTCTACTGTGGCCAGCACAACACTGACACCCCTCCCCCATTCTGCAAAGAGGATGCTGTGGTAGTGTCCAAAATGCTTGAGTCCAGTTAAATGATTCTGAGAATATTTCGGTAGTGATATATTTATTACATATCATAAAATGCTAGAGTGAAATTAGCAAAAACACCTCATGCATGATGTCAAAATTTTTTTAAATAAAAATCATAGGCTTGTTTCAGGGGAAATGAAAATTAAAGCTAGGATGCCCATTATTCCTCATCTTAGGATGGATTTTCTTCCAAAATGAAACTACTCCAGGAATCTTAATATGCGATCTTTCCAGTAATAAGTATTACCTTGGGTACTATAGTTTTTAAATTGTAATTAATTTACTTCAAGTTGATATTTGAGCAAAGATGGCAGCGGAGTAGCTAAAGTCTACAAGCTCATATAGAACACAACATCATACTTAACTATGGTGGCATATGCATTGACTTTCAGGGTTCCAGAAAACAGCAGGAGCATTATAGGAATGGGTGTGGTACATTGTGTGTTAGGGTTCATTGTGTCAAATCTTTAGTTACTGTTCAGATGCTTTTCATCCTGAAGGAGTCATTCAAGTGTTTCAGGTTATTTATTCTTGGTTGTCATTATTATATGGTCTACTGCATGGATCATTTGTGGATAATGTTATAATTTCTCTTATGTAGCTCTTCCTGGGAGAGTTTATTGTTAATTTACTTATTTATTTTTAGACTCAGATCTTGCTGTGTGGCCAAGACTGTGCTAGAATTAACTATGTGTCTTAGAATGGCTTTGAACTTGTTTGTGATCCTCCTGCTTCTGCCTCTTTTGCTGTTACAGTAGGTCTGTGCCTCTATACCTGAAAATAGTTTTTTGTTTTCTCTCTTGTCATACCAGATAATGGAACCCAGGGCCTTGTACATATTAGGCAAATGCCCTCCCACCTAGCTACATCCCTGTCCTTCCTGAGATATTTTAGTGTGCCCCCCACCAAGATACTTGATGAAGTTTGTTAGAAAATATGAACAGATTTTAGTGTTAGCATAAGAGCCATAAGTGGAACCAAATGACCTTTCAAATAGCTATGTGATTTCAAAATCAGATGTAAGAGACTATTCCAGACTTACGAAGTTTCCAGAGTTCATAGTTCTGAATTGCTAGGGGTGCAAAAGTCAATGCCGAAGCCTCTAGCCTATTAGGCAGGGTCTCCTCACCATTTCACAGATGCGTATGTCAGTAATGCACAGACACGCTAGATATTGTGCTAGATATTCCAAGGAAGCACCCTGGAGCGGAAGGAGGAAATTCCTCACAAAGGACTCCGGGAAGCCCTTCTGAGAGAGGGAAGGGGTTATTGGACTTAGAAAAATGGCTTGAGAAAGAATGATATTTAGACAAGTAGAGCCAGAACAAAGGGCACCAAATGAAGGATGTACATGTGCTATAGAACAGTGAAAGCGGTTTGGTAGGTGTATAAGAATTGTAGACTGGAGAAGAGAAAGTAGGTTCAATGTGGGTTGGGTCTACACTGTGGGCTTTGAGTGGCAACCCAAGGAATACAGTACATTTTACTTTTTGTATGAAACCTTAATACTAATGGTGTTTAATATATTTTGACACACAATAGGAAAATTCGAGGAAAATCAGAGAAGACGCTCCATATGGTCTCACTTAGAAGGTTTTTCCAGAGGTTGTCAGTTTCTGTTGCTGTGACAAATAACCTAGGAGAAACAATTTAAAAGGAGGGAAATTTATTTTGGCCTGTGATTTTGTTTCATGTTGGGTGGGCCAGTGCTGTTGTTTTCCTGGGCATAGAGGCGGAGTGTCATGGCAGGGACTATGATAGAGCTAACTTGCTTACTTCTTGGCAGACAGAGGAAGGGATCAGGACCCCAAATCTGCTTCAAAGATATGCCTTTAGTGACCAGGTTTCTCCAACTGCTTCCCTCTTTTACAGATCCACCCCCTCCTAATAGTCTATTCATATTTTAAGTCCATTTGCTAATTTTAAACCATTGATGAAAGCAGAGTCCTCATCCACTTCTAAGCACTGCTTGTGCTGGGACCAAGCGTGTGTCTTTTTGTGAGTGGAATGGGGAGGTACTTCATTTCCACACATTAACAGTAGCTATAGAATTAATTGAAACTTGCCTGACACAACTATTTATTTACCTTCTGTTAACACTGTTTTGGCATTTGGATCAGGAATATAGCCTTGAGCACCAGCTAAGGTGTGCAGAGTCAGCACACTGGAACTGAAGAAGTTAGACCTCAGCAGCATGTCATTAGCTTTGTGGAGGTAGAGCCTCCTTTGACTCTCAACCATTGCTAGCACTAAATATATTTGGTGCATTCTCCAGATAGGCAAGGAGCTGTGCAGCTTTTGGTGGGGCATTTTCCACTTTGCTCTTTGGAAAGGCATAAGCTCAAGTGAGATGTGTTCAGATAATTCTGTCAGTTTACAATGTTTATAATGGCTCCAGTTTAGGCAGGTCACCACATAGACAGACCCATTTCAGAGGTAGGCATAATGTTTCAGCTCGAAAAAGCCAGTTTTCAAAGTCAGTAAGTGGTCAGTAACACAATTTCAGTTTAAGAAGCTTTCTGAAAATGCTGGAGCAGATGACTAGATGAATCAAGCATCTTACAGTAACCCTCTAACACATTTAGAGTCAGTCACTCTTAATGCAGTGTCCGGCAGAGCCATCTCCTCATATTTATAGTTCATTGCTGTCAAGCCTCGCCCCTTAGTATTCATTTGGTTTTCATTTAGTTCCTCATGTTCTTCCCGTCCTCCTGCTCATCTTTACTCACAGCTGTCCCATACCCACCCTTGATGTCCTTTACAACCCACCACGTAGTACTTAAGACGTGCTTGTGTAGAGTGGCCTTTCCTTAAGGGTTATTCAGTTGTCTCAGGAGTGTGGACCTCTTTGTGTAGGAGGCACAATATTAACTGTTGTCATTGTTGTGATGATTGTTGTATCAGCTAAAGTCATCTGTTTTCATTTTTACTTTTTGTTATGTGGTTCTTAGGTTCAGAATTTAACATTACGCAGCCAGAAGTTGGGTGTCTTATCTAGCTCACAGAATGGCCCACCAAAAAGCACTGGTCAAACTCAGTCATTGACAATTTGCCATAATAAAACAACAGTGACCAGTTCTAAAATCAGCCAACGAGACCCTTCTCCAGAGAGCAAGAAGGGAGGAAGCCCAAGTTTGGAATCTCGAAGCACAGCAGTCACTCGGACATCAAGCATTCACCAGTTAATAGCACCAGGTGGGATAAATGTTCATAAAAAACAGTTGTTGTATTTGTTTTCTTAGCAGACAGCAAAACAAAGGGTATATGTTACTTGAATAAGAATGACAATTTTAAAACATTTAAAAATGAGAATTCTTGTCAGCTAAAGAAGACCTCACTAAGTAGCTTGAAAAAATTTCTACAAGTCTTGTAGTTGAAACAAATTATAATAGCAAAATAGATGGTTGGCCTTTGTTGCTACTTGGCACTTAACATCTTTATGATTTGCTGGTCTCTATACAAATGAAGTCTTTTAGCTTTTAAAAGACATTTGTCTTAGTTTATTTAGTATGCTTTAGTGGAACATATTTTTAAGCTTTTAGTAAAAAAATAAGTGCATTTTATTTAAGTCATTAGTGGGAAGAATTTGTTACTTTTTCAAAACAAAAGATTGGGTGAATAAGGAAATTATTTTCCTAACCCGGCAACCACCACTACCAGTGTGGGCTTTCATCCAGGGGAAAGTTGTCAAATTCTTTCCATTCTTATTAAGCCATGAGGATCTCTTTTCTGCCTCATGGTTCCTAAACTAAAAATGTTGGGGCTTTCCAGAGTGAACTTCCTGTCTCTTGTTCTATACTATTGAAATCTACTTTTCCCCTTAGACTGATTTCTCTGTCCATTTAGTACTCAGGATTGAATCTAGAGCCTCACACACAGCTCACACAAGTGCTCTAACATGGTCACAACCCTTTAACTACTTCTGTATTAGAATTGTCAGTGTTCTTGGCTTCATGAAACCTCAAAATCTTGGTATTGTCTGATTTCTCTAAGTTGAAATGTCTCTTTCCTCTGAACTATCACAGTACTGTTTCTATGCTTCCTGAACTCAAGCCTCTTTACTAGACAGCAAGCGTCTTGCAGGTCCTGTAGAGACTTGAGCATGTCTGCCTGTGACAGGCACTGTTTTTCAGCATTCTATTATATCTTTTAATCTTTTTTCAGATTCACCTTTTCATCTTAACAGCACTAAGTTGTGCCTTATGTTCATTTGCCTGTAATAGGTAGGCCGGTATATATTTGGATCAGTCTTCCAGTTTTCCACACTTATATATTTTGGAAATTATCAATCCTTCTCATTAGCATTATTTAGCTACCACAGTGCTTAGGATTGTTATGAATGAATCTTAGAGAAGTGCTATAAACTTTGCTAATAAGTCCTTTCATGCTATAGTTAGGTTTTTTTTTAATTATAAATATCTATGTACTAGTCTGTCCTAGGCCAGATAATTATGTTTTTGCACAGCATTGCCAGAGTATTCTCAGCCTCATAGTAGCACCTAGCCAGGGTTCTTGAGTCAGTGTGGGATAGCAGTACCTACTATGTCTGAGGTGACTGATCAGGGCACAGTAGATAGTGAACCTGTCGTCTTATTTTTTTTTTTCCTGGCTAGAACTATGCCAACAGTCATTTGAAATAGAGAAAAACAAAACAAACAAACAAAAAAACCCCAAAAAAACAAAAACCCAGAAATCAGACCATCTATTTGTATTCTAATGTAGTTGCCTATTAGTACTATAGTGGACATGGTTACTGTTTTCTTGCATGTAAGTTTTTTTTTGTTGTTGTTGTTTTGTTTTTCAAGACAGGGTTTCCCTGTGTAGCTTTGGAGCCTGTCTTGGAACTAGTTCTTGTAGACCAGGCTGTTCTCGAACTCACAGAGATCCACCTGCCTCTGCTTGCCAAGTGCTGGGATTAAAGGCATGAGCCACCACTGCCCGGCTTCCTGCATGTAATTTTAGGGTCTAAAAATAATCTGATTTTCTTTACTATTTCTCCTTGAGGGTAGAAGCTTTCCTTTGTTAGCAATTCTATTATTTAGAAGACAGTAGCCTAGGCTGCCTTTGAACTCATGACAGCTCTCCTGCCTCAGCCTCCCATCATGCCTGATTGATAATTCTGTTTTTAATATATAAAAGGTGAAAGTTTACCTTTAACCACATTTCTAGAAATCATGGAATGTGTTTTTAAAGCAGTTTTTAGAGGGCTTTTTTCTTTTTCCTTTTTTCTTTTCTAGAAATTAATTCAACACGTAACGAAAAAGTCTTGTACTGGTTTGTTCTAGCTGCCACCATGAAATGTTATACATACCTTGGAAGTCTGAGGTCAAGGTCTGGCAGTTCCCAGGTTCCGATGAGCAGTGTCTTTTTGCCTCATCATTTGCCACTTTCTCTGTGTTCTCAGATGGATTTTTCCTGTGAGGGAGGAGGGCTCTCTGATAACTTCTTTAAAAACATTGTTTTGGTGGGGGGTAGGGCAGGGGGCATGAGCATTTCACAGAGTCCATGTTGAGGTCAGAGGACAACTTGTAGGAGTTGGTTCTTTTCTTCTACCACGTGGGTTCCAGGAATCAAACTCAGGTCATCAGGCTTGTTGGCAAGTGCCTTTACCTGCTGAGCCATCTCACCGGCCCTGCCATTCCAGGGCCTCACTCCCAGAATCCCACATGACCTTAACTTCCTAGACTCTCCATCTTTACATATAGCCACTTTAAGGGTTATGGTTTCAACATGGCAAATTTTGGGAAAGGTGCACAAATAGTTTATAACAGAGTCTTCAACTCAGGATTTGGGGCTCATTTAGACTCAGTACTGCTCTTCGGTAGTTGATTCCAGTTAATCTGTCATATATTGCATTAGTTCAGTACCAAGTCTACTTCATGGGGTTGCAGTAATGATTGAAATGATATGCTGTTGTAAATAATAAGAGAAATGATATCAGTCATGACCTTTCCATTATTAGGCCACTCTGACAATAAAAAATGTTCATTAAAGTCAGAGAAATTAACCAGTAGGACATAATTTTGTAGACATCGTCAGCTTTCCTTGCTTGTAGTCCTTGTCCTGCATTCTAGGACTTGTTCGATGAGGAATAAACCAGTACTCTACTGAAATGTCAGATTATTTACCTATGAGAGCACAAAGGTATTCTAGTGGATATATCACCTGTGTTAGGACATGTGGGGCTGGAAAGAAGACTCAGAAGTTAAGAGTGGTTATTCTCGCAAGGACTGTAGATCTGTTCCCAGGACTCTTGTTGGATGGTCCACAACCACTTGTAGCTCCCAGTTCAAGGGAATCTTGATGCCCTCTTTAGGTCTCAGGGACTCACACTCATACATACACCCACACATAGACACATAATTAAAAATAAGAAGTATTTGAAAAAGATGATAAAATTAAATTATAACATTATTTTTTAAAATGGAGGCAAAACGTTCTGTTTCCTTATCTGAAAGGATAACAGACACTTACTCCACAGTTGTTATCCAAGTGCTAATGAGAGACTTGAAAGCACTTTATAGAACCACAGAATTTATTTGTATAACATAGCTATCAGTATGTTTGTAGACGATTTATTCACTGTTCTCTTCTGAACACTGTATTACAGTCTTTAGTTGAATTACTAGCTTATGTGGAAAATTATTTTTACATTAAATTTTAGACCTCATTTTTCTTCAGTGCATGTGTTCTAACACTAAGCTGTAACCACAGCCCTTCCTTTAAAAATAATTAGTAGATATCTAGTGAAATTTCTAAATACTCTTTGAGATACTAATTAGATGTTTTTCCTTCCTTCCTTCCTTCCTTCCTTCCTTCCTTCCTTCCTTCCTTCCTTCCTTCCTTCTTTCCTTCTTTCTCTCTCTCTCTCTCTCTCTCTCTCTCTCTCTCTCTCTCTCTCTCTCTCTCTCTCTCTCTCTCTCTCTCTCTCTCTCTCTCTCTCTCTCTCTTTCTTTTCTTTTTAAAGACAGGGTTTCTCTGTGTAGCTCCGGCTATTCTGAAACCCACTCTATAGACCAGGCTGTCCTTAAACTCAGAGATCTGCCTGCCTCTGCCTCTTGAGTTCTGGAATTAAAGGTGTGCAACACCACCTGGCAGATATTAATTTCTTTAAAGGATGACTATAATTTTTAAACATCATTTTATATGTATGATTTTTGCCTGCACATACATGTACATAACATGTGTGCCAGGTGCCTGAGGAAGCCAGAAGAGTGTTTTGGATCCCCTGGAACCGGAGTTACAGATAGTTATGAGGTGCCATGTGGGTGCTGGGAACCAAATTCAGGTCCTGGAAGAACAACCAGTCCTCTTTTTTTTTTTTTTATTTGGACAGCAAGACAGACCTTCCGATCAAGCTGACAACCAGTCCTCTTAACTGCTGGAAGGTCTCTTCATCTTGACCCCTAAAATTTAAATTATAAACAAATGCAAAAAAGTTTAAGAAAAAAGTTATTAGAAGTTTGTATATCACTGTTGTCATAATGTAAAGTGCTATGTAACTTCTATATTTACACTGCAAGATAAATTCTGTCTTTAGATTTGATTTAGGTGTGTGTGCACGTGTGTGTGTGTGTGTGTGTGTGTGTGTGTGTGTGTGTGTAGACTTTGAGACAGGGTCTCCTTATGGTCCTGGCTGGCCTAGAACTTGCTAATTTGCTATGAATGCAGATCAGGCTTGCCTCTAATTCAGAGATCCACCATGCCTTTGCCTTCCAAGTGCTAGTATTAAAGGTGTGCCTACCACAACAGCTTAGATGCATGTAAGTTCTGTGTGGCATTAAGCAGTCATTTCAGCTTATCTTCCAGTGCACTCATTTCCCAGTTCTAGGTAGGGTGGATTTCATCAGCTTCTCCCCCTGTAAAAGGTGTCATGGTGGGAACCAATCATAACTTAGGGTGATCCTTGGCTAAATTCATCCCAGTTGTGAGCACCTGTGGAGGAGATCTGATAGATACCATTACTTACAACTCATTCATTCTCTGCAAGAAAACAATTGCTCACTTTGATTTGGAATGGCCCCTATACTACAAGATTCAGCCATGTATTTTGCTTAATTGAATTGAAGTTTTCTGTGGAACAGTTTCATTCTGGTCAAATAATAAAGACTTCATCCAAGCTGAAACATTCACTTAGGAAGCTTTTTAGCCAATTGATTTTGCTATTAGTTTGATACATCTTTTGTCATAGATAGGTCTTGATCTTGAAGTCACCCATGTGTACTGTACTGTTGAGTACTGATATTTCTCCTTCAGAGAAGAGAAGACTCAAGTGTATAGACCAAAGAACTAAGCTAATGAAACTGCACATATGTGGCCTGGAAGAGTAGAATGTGTGAAGCTGTACATATGTGGCTAGATTGTTTTCCTTCATGTTTCACAGCATAGCTTATTTTATCCAGCCTTTTTAGCCTTGCAAGGGAAATATGTTGTCATAGAATATCAATTACCCATACCTAAAAGACTTGTAATAGACTGCTAGTGATTATGATTCTCTAATGTGAAAACTCTCCTCCTTTAGATTTATGTAAAACTATTTCATTTTGAAATCAGTACTAATTGTCATTTTTTTCTCTCACAGCTTCATATTCTCCAATTCAACCTCATTCTCTAATCAAACATCAACAGATTCCTCTTCATTCACCACCTCCTAAGGTTTCCCATCATCAGCTGATGTTACAACAGCAACAGCAGCAAATGCAGCCAATCACCCTTCAGAGTCCAACTCAAGATCCGCCCCCATCCCAGCACTGTATCCCACTCCCAAACCATGGCCTTTCTCCGGCTCCCAGTAATGCCCAGTCACAGCATTGCTCACCAATTCAGAGCCATCCCCCTCCTTTAACTGTGTCTCCCAGTCAGGCACAGTCAGCACAGCAGTCTGTAGTGGTGTCTCCTCCTCCACCTCATTCCCCAAGTCAGTCTCCGACTATAATTATCCATCCACAAGCACTTATCCAGCCACACCCTCTTGTGTCTTCAGCTCTTCAATCGGGGCCAAATTTGCAGCAGGCTGCTGCTGATCAGGTACAACCAACAGCACAGCTGAATCTTCCATCCCATCTTCCACTTCCAGCATCCCCTGTTGTACACATTGGCCCAGTCCAGCAGTCTGCTTTGGTATCCCCTGCTCAGCAGATTGTGTCTCCAACATCACACCAGCAATACTCAACCCTGCAGTCATCTCCAATTCCAATTGCAACCCCTCCACAGATGTCGACATCTCCTCCAGCTCAGATCCCACCACTGCCCTTGCAGTCTATGCAGTCTTTACAAGTGCAGCCTGAAATTCTATCCCAGGGCCAGGTTTTGGTGCAGAATGCGTTGGTGTCAGAAGAAGAGCTCCCTGCTGCAGAAGCTCTGGTCCAGTTGCCATTTCAGACCCTTCCTCCTCCACAGACTGTTGCGGTAAATCTCCAAGTACAGCCAGCAGCACCTGTTGATCCACCAGTGGTAAGCCCTTGGCAGCTCTTTGACTTTCTTGCTGAACTGAACGTAAAGCTGGTTCTCCCACACTGTGCTGTACTGTTAAGTCTAAATGCCTATGATTTTTTTAAGCTTGCATTTTTCCTGTGTCAGTATTCCCACAATGTATTCTATGGGCAAAGGAAAAAAATGTCATTTGTTGTAGTATGGTTGCATGCTTTAAATTTGTGATGGTTATTAAAGTCCCTCGTTAATTTTATTACTATTTAAACAAATCCATCTGCTATCTTTACAGAGTTGATTTTTTTTCCCCAAGGGAATGCATTTGAACCAGTGTCATCTGCACAAAGTTTTTTCTCTTAAGGTGATTATCCTTCATAGATCCCTTCTGTATGTTCTTAAGCGCATGGTTTATCTAGCTAACCTTTTAGTTGTATGCATTTGCAAGTCTTGGGCCTTGAGCAGCTTTTCTTTGAAGGAATGGGTATGATTATATGTTTTAACTTTTTTTTGATGAAATTATGTTTTGTAATTAAAATTGTAAAAACATTTATTCTAGGGTAGAATTCAATTTGACAAAAAACTGACTTTTTAAAATTTCTATCTACTAAGAGAAAATATATACTTAAGTCATTTCTCAGTTACAAGACTCAAAACTGTGAGTCTCTGGCTTTGACACTGAGAGTAACAAAAATGAAGTAAGAATTTTGAATAATTGGAATTTCAATGGAATGTATCAGAATGAACCTCTAGAAAAGGTCACATGAAGCCTAAAAAGGAAAATTATCTTGACAATATTTTTATTTTTCAAAATTTTCTCTGAAATAGTTATTGACATTTATAAAATGGTTTATGCAAAAATTGAAATAGGGTCTTTACAAGTTTACCAGATTCAATGTCTTACTGAGGAAAAGAACTTTTCTAAAAGAAAATTTTGTGTCAAACTTTGAAAGTCAGACCAGTTCTTGGGAAGCTGGGGCAGAAGAACCAAGAGTTTGCCATCCTTGACTGTCCAGTGAGTTCAGAGCAGCCTTGGCTACAGAGTTCCCCAGGATATCTCTAAATTGAAATATTTAGATGTCAATTAACGTTGATCTTAGAAGGAAAGGAGTTTTGCTGTCTTCATTAGTAGAAACATTTGACTCTTACAACTCGATTTTGTAGTTTGTTGTTCTGTTCTTTTAAGTGATCTTAATAGGCACAAGCTGCTCAGTTTTACCTGTTACTGCCCCAGAAGCCAGAAGCCAAGAAAAACCAGTGCTAGACAGATTGGTCCTCTAATTATGCCCCTGTGTTTTAGAGCACTTACAACAGGGTTTGCACCGAGGAAGCAGTTCAGCGGTAGAGTACCTGTTTAGCATATGCCAGGCCTGGGTGCAGTCCCCAGTTGCTGTCAAAACGAAAACATGAAAAACAAAGGTTTAGGAAAAATACAGAACCTCCAAAGAAATCAAATTAAACTTTACTTCATTTTCTTAACATTTAATTCAGTGATTGGTTTTCAATGAGTAAACAATAAAATGCCATATACCTTTTAAATATATTTTTAAATAAGAGGACTTTGGGTCAACATAATTAGGGTAGAAATGCCAAAAATAAAACACTTTAACTACTGTGTCAAAAATATTATTGGATTTGTTTTGCTGATTTTGCCGTCTGTTTTTAAACACAAGGCCATGGTCATTTCTGGAAGGTCCCTGTGTTACTGTGTGACAACAGGGCCTGCTGTCTGGGTGCCAGTGCTCTTTGGATTCTTTTCACAGCAGCTGTTTACTAGGTCTCTGGTTTGTTGTTGTGACCAGATTTCTTCCATAAAACACCCTTTCCACCCTTGATTATTTCAAGTACTTAAATGTAGATGTATTTCTTTCTAACAAAATGTAACAATTTGAAAGAAAAAGGTGAATTATCAAGCTAAATCAGCATGTTTTCAAAAAGATATTTCTATAAAAGAAAGAGTTTTTTTTTAAAAATTGAGATTTGGGTGTAAATAAGATATGTTGAGGATAGATGATTTAGAACTAATAAACAAATGTTCCTCAGTTTATTTAGGAAAGGGAGACAGATGGGAATATGGACTTTACTGAGGTAAGTTTGGTGGTCTTCATTATTTTTAGAATAGTTATAGTTATGAGCTAAATAGAACTTGTGCAGATTTGTAATGATCTTGTGAGCAAAATCTCCAATTACTGCTTTTGCAGTATTTTAGTTATTGCATTTAGATGTTTTTTTGTACTGATTGTGCCAGATGTATCTGAAAAATTTCTTATGCTTACTTTATTTCTCTATCAACTTGTTTTTTCTTTTTATGTGGGAGATTATGAAGAGCTCCCTGTATTTAACCTCATCATAAGAAAGAAAAATATTTTATAGTGTTCTTTGATGGGTAATTTGAAAAAAAAAACAATGCTGTTTGTATTATAGCCTTTTTCTTTTTAAAAGTAGTTTTCAAAAATCAGACTTTGGTGCATGGTCCAGCTGATGCCTTAAAAGAAGCTGTAAGCAATGTTGCAGCCCCAGGTGGCAGCAGAGCGGGTGGAAGGGTTAGCAGTTTCGCAGATGCCTTCTTTGGAGGCAAAGAACTGTCTGTGAGGGAACCAGCACCATGATGAAACTTAACTGGTCAAGAAGCCAGTCTCGCACGCTGCCTTTAGCCAGCTCGCTAGCCACTCCCCTGAACCGGCACTCCATCTTCTAGTTTTTAGGTACCAGACAGCTTTATTTTATTTTATTTTTATTTTTTTTAACTCCTAGGCATTTTGGGCAGTGATGTATTCTATGCTGAGTATTACCCTTATGTTAAACATTGCTGTTACCATGAACAGACTAGTGGCTGTCTTGTAGCATACAGTAACAGTGACTTGCTTCCACTTGTGAAACAGGTTTCTAATTTCTAGGATGTGAAAAAATATATTTAAAAAATGTTGCCTGCTTAGTGCCTGATTTGGATCATAATTCAAGATACCAAGTTAAATATAAAATAACTCTAGTGGAATTTTAGATTTTGTTTGTTTGTTTTTTTGAGACAGGGTTTTTCTGTGTAGCACTGGCTGTCCTGAACTCACTCTGTAGACCACACTGGCCTTGAACTCAGAGATTTGCTTGCTTCTGCCTCCTGAGTGATGGAAGTAAAGGTGTGCACCACTACCACCCCAAGAAATTTTATTTTTTAAGCAAAAGCCATGTTTAATCCTTTTCTTGCTGATGTTTAGATGGGCTTTTGCTATGCACCCATGCTAGCTTTGAACTCACTATTTTGTCATAGCCTTCTAAGTTCTAGGATTACAGAGTCGTGTCACCATTCCTGGATGGATATTTTATTTTAAGTAGATGCTTAGAGTTTTTTTAAAACCACTATTACTCGTTATGCATATATTCATAATTGAAACTTTATAGTACTTTACATGGTTTGTGCCAGATTAAAAAATCTTGATTATTTTCATATTAAATTCTCAACACCTCAGATTATCAATTTTTTTCAACAATTTAACTAAAAATGTAATAATGAATGTCACTTAAAGTTAACTTTGTGAATATTCAGGATTTTTTTTTACTGGTAAGATTTATTTCAATGCTAATTAGTTACAAAATCTTTAAAAACCTCAGCGTTTGTAAATGTAAGTGAAAACTTTGCCACATGAAAGGAACTGAGCTATCTTACAGCTTTGTGTTAGTAGAGGGTCATCTTTCATAAATAGCAATCAATCAAAGTACATCTTAATTTCTAGAAATACTTCGAAAGTTAGTCCTAAAGTTTCATAAAATGTTAGTTGAGTAATATAGCTCTAGTTACATGATTTCACCTCTGTGATTTTGATGTCACAATCTTTCAGCAAAACCACTACAGTTGGATAAAAGGGACTAACAGAGATGTTCGTTTTAAAGAAAGATATTTTCTGTATATATCATACTAGCTTGATTCTTGAGTAGAACAGAAAGGAAATGAAAATATGATTGCTGACTTTTCTACAGTTTCATATACATTCATTATTCTAATTTAGCCTTTAATAACTGATGAGTAATCTTGCATATAATTTTGGCATTATATTGGCCTGGCATATATTATTTTGGATGTTTACTTAGAGTGTTTGTGAAAAGTACTGGCACCTGTCTTGATTCATGATAGGTGGAAATTATCAGAAGCAATGATGTTTTTAGATAGTCATTTGATTGTATAAAGCCAAAACCTTTTTTTAAAAAAATTCTTGAAAATATGTTCAGATATGGTTATTATCATTGGGAAAGACCAGTGATTCCTGGCTTACATAGCTGGCCCAAAGTGTGCTTTCAGTGACACACTACTAAGTAGTAGAAGAATTTTTACGAGTGGTTTCAGAGTTTTCCTTTCAACATGCCAGTATAGTCATTTGCCTTGCTTTTATTTTTAATACATTTAGAGTTATTTTTTTAATTCAGAATACCACGTGAAATATAGTTTTGGAAAAATTTCAAGGTGGTATGACTTGTCATTGCAGGTTTATCAAGTAGAAGATGTGTGTGAGGAAGAAATGCCCGAGGAGTCAGATGAATGTGCGAGGATGGATAGAACACCGCCACCGCCCACTTTGTCTCCAGCAGCTATAACTGTGGGGCGAGGAGAGGATTTGACATCGGAACATCCATTGTTAGGTGAGGAAATACAAAATATAGGGGAAGATTTTTTGTTTTTGTTTTTGTTGTTGTTGTTGTTTTGTTTTTTCGAGACAGGGTTTCTCTGTATTGCTTTGGAGGCTGTCCGGGAACTCACTCTGTAGACCAGGCTGGCCTTGAATTCACAGAGATCTGCTTGCCTCTGCCTCCTGAGTGCTGGGATTAAAGGCGTGTGCACCACCACCACCACCACCACCACCACCACCACCACCGCTGGCAAAGATTCTTTTTGATAGGTGTCACTAATAGGAAATACTTTCAATAGAGATGGCATTAAACTTATTGCCATTAACTGTAACAAAAGGTTTAGAATTTAACAGAGTATTGTTTTATTAAAGAATAAATAAAATTTACTTGTTTTCTTGGGAAATCCTTTAATAGCAGTGGAAAGTTATTTGTTTATAAAACTTTTGGCACCACCCAAACAAAAGAAATGACATTTCAAGCATTGTTATTATTAATGGCTACTCACATTCCTGTATTAGCTATTTCTAGCTTAAAAATTAGAATAGAGGACTAGGGAGATGACTTAGTGGGTAAAGCATTTTCTGTACAGATACCCAGAGTTCACATAAAGCTAGCACAGTGGTATATACCTGTAATCCCAGTGTTCCTACAGCTAGATGAGAAGTGGAGACAAGAGAATGTCCATAAACCTGTGGGCCAGCTAGCTAGTATGTATCAGCAAACAACAAAACAGACCCTGTCTGAACATCTACATCCAAGGTTGTCCTCTGACCTCTCTCCCAAAAAAGAAGGAAATGACTCATTTGGGTAAAAATGCTTTGTCATGCAAGCCCAATGACCTGAGTTCAGGTTCTTTTAACTGTTTAGCAAGCTAGATGCCATATGTCACATCTATAATCATAGCATTCCTATAGTGAGATGGGAGGTGGGGACTAGAGAATTGCCTGGAAGTTTGTGAGCTAGGTAGCCTGTAAAGGGCAGTGGCAGAAATGAGGAGAACACTGTCTTAAACAAGGAGAAGGGTTTTGGTTGTTTTGTTCTACTTTTGGGTGGTGCTGAGGATGAAAATCAGGGTCTTAGGCATGCTAGCAAGCTCTCCTACTAACCTACATTTTCCACCAGTATGTATAGTTTCTTTTTTAGGAAAGCATTTGTTGCTGTGGATGTACTTGTGATTCAAAAGTAGAAATACCAGCTTACTTGAATAATACACTTGATTGTGGTTCTGCTTTAATTGCAAATTAAGTGTGGCTCTTATTGATAACACCAGACATGAAATGTCTTCATGCTTTTTCCTTGTGTATTATCGGAGACCCTTCCAAGCCTGTTTTTCTATGCTGCTAGCTACAGTGTAGACACTTTAGTCTTCCTGTAATGTACCTCATTCCTCTGTGGTATGTGGAAGGGGAGTAAGAAAGTGATATTTTCAATAACTTATCAAATGATGGAACTAGCTTACAAAAATAGACTTGTTTGTGACTAGAGAGATGGTTCACTAGTTAAAAACCTTTACTACTCTTGCAGATCGGAGTTTGGGTCCCAGAATGGACATGGCAGCTCACCACTGCTTGTAACTGCTGTTTCAGGGAATCTGACACTCTCTTCTGGCCTCCACAGGCACTGTACACACTAGGCAAAAATTCACATATAAATATTTATTTTTTATATATAAATACATACAAATAACAATAAATCCTAAAAAATAGACTTGTTTCCATCCATGATTCAACTTTTATAAATCTGTAAAAAATCTTTAAAAGTTTCTGTGTAAAAAAAAGGTAGGACAAATTCACCGCCCAGTGTGTATCTATAAATAGATTCAGTAACCTATTCCAAAGTCATAGAGCTGCCTAGAGGACGGTATAGTACAGCATAGTAGTAGTGTTTTTGTTTTGTTGTAAATTGCCAGTGTTGTTCATGCTTTTGCTTTTAAACAGCTTCTTAAAAATTGACAAATAATAGATACCAGGTTTTTAAAAAAGGACAATAATTTACAGATAAGTTTTTGACACAACTTGAGAGAACTTTATTATACACATGATCTAAAGGTTAATTCAGATTTTCACTGAGTAGTGTTTTCCAGAAAAACTATACCTAATACAATGTCTTAGTCCATTTTGTGGACTTGGGCTGGTAGTGGTGGAAAATGCTTGTAGCATGAGCACTCAGAAGACTGAGGAAGGAAGATATGGAGTTTGAAACCAGCCTAGTATATCTAACAGGAACCATGTCATAACAAATAAATAGACCATAGACTTGGGGCTTTATGCTAAAGAGAACTATAGTTGGCTTGTGTTTCTGGAGTGTGGGGACTGGAAGGTGAAGGTGCTGCATCTGGGAAGGATCTTCCTGCTGAGCTATTCCATGGTAGAAGCATCACAGGGAACGTGAGCCTCCTGCATAGTTTCTCTACGGTGGAAATGAGTCCTGCTCACCTTCCATAAAGTTCTACTTCTCCACACTTCCTAACACAAGAATTTTGGAATGTCTATTTAAACTATAGCATGTAGTTTTATATTTATTGAGCAAGAAAGTATCTTTATATCTATAAGGGCTATTTCAAAATTTTATTTTAGTTCTCATTGTTTTTTTGTCTTTTGTCCCATAGAAGTATATGTAATAATTTGGCACATGGGGAAGGATACTGTAGTGTTCCTGCTGGATAATACATGTGGACAGTTGTGCATATATTCACAGACATTAGCAAGATACTGCTCTATGGATGCTTTTCTTTTCTTGCTCTTTCCTCCCTCCTTCCCCTCTCTCTACATCCCTCCTTCCTCCCCCTCTTTATCTTGCTCTCCCTTCTTTCCTAATTAAATAGATTCTGTAGCTTTGGGTTTATTTTGTTCATAGGGGGTTTGTTTTTGTTACATGATTTCTCTCTGTAGCACTCACTGACCTGGAACTCTCAGAGATTTTGCCTGCCTCTGCTTCTTAAGTGCAGGGATTAAAGGCATGTACTACCAGCCTGGCCAATTATATGGTATTAAACAGGTGTTTGAATATTTATCTTTTTGAAGATAGGTTACTTTATTATCATTATAATAGTGGTGGTGAAACCTATAGGACATTAATTACACTGGTCTTACTAAGGGTGAGCTTTTTGTGTTTTTTTTTATTTTGAATTTTAATATGTATTTTGGGGTATAGAGAGTTTATTCTTGTGCTTGCTACTCATGCATTTTCCACTGATTATAACCCCAGTTTCTATTATGCTGCTTTATCAGTTGAGATTTCTGTTCTTTAGGGAGCCTGTCACTTCTCTTTCACCTAAGTTAGCTATATTTTTATATATTTTTAGCATCATTCACTGGTGGTATCAGTCCTTGTTTTTTTGTTTTTTTTTGAGACAGTTTCTCTGTAGCCCTGGCTGTCCTGGAACTCGCTCTGTAGACCAGGCTGGTCATGAACTCAACAGAGATCTGCCTGCCTCTGCCTCCTGAATGTTGGGATTAAAGTTACTCTTGAAATTGATATTTAGGGCATTTTCATATTTTATGGGGATAATAAAAAACTGTTTAGATGGTAATTTTGAGTATGTTAGTGCATGTCTGTAGAATGGGAATATTAGCTTGTTCCTTATATGGGTATTGTACAGATTAAATGAGACAGTGAGCATAATGTTCTTGGAAAACAGCAGATCTGAGTGAGCTTCCATCTTCACACGGTAGATGGCTAAAGATCACTCCCTTTCTTTCAGAGCAAGTGGAATTGCCTGCTGTGGCCTCAGTCAGTGCTTCAGTGATTAAGTCACCCTCAGATCCCGCTCATGGCTCTGTTCCTCCACCACCACTCTTAATTCCAGCAGCTACCACAAGGACCAATAGCACATCTGTGGCCAGCAGCACTCCCAGCCTAGAAAACAAGCCTCCACAGGCTATTGTCAAACCACAGATCTTGACCCATGTTATTGAAGGTTTTGTGATTCAGGAGGGATTGGAACCATTTCCTGTAAGTACAAAGCTTTTTATGTTTTAAAAATTATTTCAGCCATATAACACTATCTTAAAAATTGTCTACTGTTGTTCTCTAAGAAAATACTTATAATCTTATTTTAAAGGTTGTTTTTTTTTAAATATAGAATTTTGACTGTTTTTCCTATATAGGTTCTGAGATATTTTGTACTAGCCATTTCTGATCTTAATTTTGCTTATCTGCCTGACGGAGATGCTCTTTTGGCATGTGAGAATTAAATATGCTACCATTATTCTTGGTTGTACATGGCATTTACTAGCCATAGCTATTACTTATTATCACCATTGTATTGACAATGACAGCTTTACTTTTTCATGCTTTAGAGTATACATGCTTTAGAGCTGGAGAGATGGCTCAGCTGTAAAAGGCTAGGCTCACAACCGAAAGTAATACATGCTTTAAAACTTAAACTATATAGAACAAATAATAATATCACAGTACATGTATATTCACATAGTCAAGATTATTATTGTATATACAATTATTTTTTACTTAATAAGTGAGCTTTTTTCTATATAATTACTAACATCTTTGTACATTTTGAAAAGTAACATAATATTCTACTTACTGTTTTTATTTTATCACTGTTTAGTCTAAGATACAGCTTAATGATAGGGTGCATGTATAGCATGTTTGAGGTACACGTTCAGGTCTTCAGCACCCCACACACATGGAGGGTGGGGGGGTAGGGGGGTAATGGAATTATACTTTTGTATGTAAGTTGTCCAGATTTTAAATAGTTTTCTTAGCATAAATTCCTAGAAGTAGTATTATTTTATACACTATTTTATGCAAAGACTGTTTCCTCACCCACTAGAAGTATAGGCCATTAGCAACATTGCATAATAGAATTACTTTTATAAATTTTTCTTGAGGCATATTAAGTTACCGAAATGAATATAATTGTTTCAATTTCAAATTTGATTTATTCTAATTTTTTTTAAATTTTATTTTATGGGGATGGGTGTTTTGTCTGCTGTGCACCATGTATATGCTATGGCCCTTGGAAGGCAGAAGAGGGTGTTGGACCCTTGAGACTGGAGTTACAAGTGGCTGTGAGCCATCATATGGATGCTGGGAGTCAAAGCAGGGTCCTCTGGAAAAGCCATCTCTCCAGCCCCTGTATAAATTTCCAGTAAACTTTGGTCCCCTACCATTCCATAACCAGCATTCTTTCCAGATTAGCTAATGGCTTGCTTAAAGACTCAGTACATATTCATGATTTAAATTTTTCCTGAAAATATTTCTAAGATATGTATTTATGATACTGAACACAATGACTATTTTGTTGTTGATGTTAACATCATAGTGTTTGAGGAGTTTCTGTTTGTTCTATAATTATAGTGGTTAGGTTGCTGAAGGAGTCAGAAGATTTGAGTGATAGTCTTGATATTGCTTTGTAAAGAAGTAATCTAAACTCTTTGAATATTAGCATCCTTATCTATAAAGAATATAAAGTGTAGACTTAGTTAGTCTTGCCTAGCATGTATGTGGCTGTGGATTTCATTCCTAGTATTTAAAATGTTCATCTTTGTGTGTGCTGCATTTATATGAAAAAAGCAAAGCTTCTGAAGGAAAAACTTGACAAAATGCTTAATCAGATTTTTTTCTCTTTATTGAAAGTAGGTTTTGTCAGGTGGTGGTGGCACCCACCCATAATCCCAGCACTTGGAAGGCAGGCAGATCTCAGTTTGAGGCCAGCCTGGTCTACAGAGCGAGTTCCAGGACAGCCAGGGCTGTTATATAGAGAAACCCTGTCTCAAAACAAAACAAAACAGTAGCTTTTATTCTCACATAATATATCCTAATTATGATTTCTCTTCCCTCTACTCTGTTCATACGAAACCCCCATCCCATCTGGATTCATCCCCTTTCTGTCTCATTACAAAACATGCTTCTAAAGGATAATAGTAAAAAATATAATCAGATAAGACTAAAACTAATACACCAGAAGAGGACAAAACAAAACAAAACAGAAGGAAAGAACCCAAGAAAAGGCATATGGAACAGGTTTGACACAGAGACCTATTTGTTTGCACACTCAAGAGTCCAATAAAAACATTAAACTGGAAGCCATTTATATATATGCAAAGGATTTGTAGTGTAAAGAGATACACAAAAAATACATAAATGAAATAAAAAATAAGACAATTTTTAAAAAGCCCTGATATGACACTGTAAGAATTTGTTTTCTGTTGGCCTACAGCCTATGTCCAGACTATACTTAAGGGCAGTTTGTTTCTGCAGTGAGACTCCCTTGGAGAAAGCTACATTTTTATTTGCAAGTGGTTACCAGTTAAAGCTTGTTTCTAGGTTAGGGATGAGGGTGTGTGTTCACTTCTTTCAGCTCTGGGACTCTATGTGCAGGCCCAGTGCATCTGCCACAGTCTCTGTGTTCTTTTTTTTTTTTCTCAAAATATTTTTTATTTAAATTATAAACATAAAAGCTTCACATGTCGATTCCAGCTCCCTCTTCCACCCCTCCTCCCTTACCCCTCTACCAGCCTCCTTAACCCCCCCACCCAATCCCCACATGCTTACCCAGGGAGGACGAGGCCCTCCATGGGGGATCTCCAGAGTCTGTCACTTCATCTGGGGGAGGGCCCAGGCTGAGAGAGGTTCCCTCCATATGGAATGGGCTCCCAAAGTTCATTAGTACACCATGGTAAACACTGATCTACTACCCAAACCCCAGAGATTGCTGTGGCCTTATCACTGATACCACATTCAGGGGGGTATGGATCAGTCTCATGCTAGCCTCTCAGTCTGGGGTCCAAGAGCTCCCCCTTGTCAGGTTTGCTGTCTCTGTGGGTTTCATCAGTATGGTCTTGACCCCTTGCTCATCACTCCTCCATCTCTGTCACTAGGTTCCAGGAGTTCAGTTCAGTGTTTAGCTGTGGGTATTTGTCTCTGCTTCCATCAGCCACTGGATGAAGGTTCTAGGATGGCATATAAGGTAGTCGTCAGTCTCATTATCAGGGAGGGGCAATTAAGGTAGTCTCTCCATTCTTGCTTAGTTTGCCTGTTGGTATCATCCTTGTAGATCTCTGGAAATCCCTCTAGCTCTCTCCTCAAACCTATAATGACTCCCTCTATTATATTATCTCTCATCCTGATCTCCTTCATTTTTCTCCCTACTCAACCTTACTGCTCCCCCTATATCTTCCTCTCCTCTCCTCTTCTCTTCCTATCTTTTTCCAAGTTCCCACTTCTCTCCCCCCATGCTCCCAATGTGCTCATGAGGTCTTGGTTCATTCCCCTTCTCTGGGGTATCTTGCATATCTCTCTTGGGAACCTCCCTGTTTCCCAGACTCACTGGCAATGGGATTGCAGGGTGGCACTCTCCTGATCCATGTCCAGAATCCATATATGAGTGAGTACATATCATGTTTGTCCTTTTGTGACTGGGTTACCTCACTCAGGATGGTTTCTTCTAGTGCCATCCATTTGCCTGCGAATTTCAAGATTTCATTGTTTTTTTTTTTTTCCCCTGAGTAGTACTCCATTGTGTAAATGTACCACATTTTCTCTATCCACTCTTCAGTTGAGGGGCATCTAGGTTGCTTCCAGGATCTGGCTATTACAAATAGTGCTGCTATGAACGTAGTGGAACAGACATCCTTGTTGTATGAATTCGCATCTTTTGGATATATGCCCAAGAGTGGAATTGCTGGGCCTTGTGGTAGACTGAGTCCCATTTTCCTGAGGAATCTCCATACTGATTTCCAAAGTGGCTGTACAAGTTTGCACTTCCACCAGCAATAGAGGAGTGTTCCCCTTTCTCCACATCCTCTCCAGCATAAGCTGTCATTGGTGTTTTTGATTTTAGCCATTCTGACAGGAGTAAGATGGTCTCTCTTGTTTTGATTTGCATTTCCCTAATTGTTAAGGATGTTGAGCACTTTCTTAAGTGTCTTTCAAGCCATTTAGACTCCTCTATTGAGAATTCTTTATTTAGTTCTGTACCCTACTTTTTGATTGGATCTTTTGGTATTTTGGAGACTTGCTTCTTTAGTTCTTTGTAAATTTTAGAGATCAGCCCACTGTCAGATGTAGGTTTAGTGAGTCTCTTTTTCCATTCTGTGGGCTGCCTTTTTGTCTTGTTGACTGTGTCCTTTGCCTTACAGAAGCTTCTCAGTTTCAGGAGGTCCCATTTATTAATTGTCGATCTCAGTGACTGTGCTACTGGTGTTATGTTCAGAAAGAGGTCTCCTGTACCAATTAGTTCAAGGATACTTCCCATTTTCTCTTCTAAGAGGTTCGGTGTGGCTGGAGTTATGTTGAGGTCTTTGATCCATCCAGGTTTTGTGCATGGCAATAGACATAGATCTATCTGCAGTCTTCTACATGCCAATATCCAGTTATGCCAGTATCATTTATTGAAGATGCTACCTTTTTTCCATTGTATGATTTTAGCTTGTCGAAAATCAGGTGTTCGTAGGTGTGTGTTCAATTCGATTCCATTGGTCTACCTGTCTATTTTTGTGCCAATACCAAGCTGTTTTCAGGACTATAGTTCTATAATAGAACTTGAAGTCAGGGATGGTGATGCCTCTGTATGTTGTTTTGTTGTACAGGGTTGTCTTGGCTATCCTGGGTCATTTGCTTTTCCATATAAAGTTGAGAATTGTTTCAAGGTGTGTGAAGAATTGTGCTGGAATTTTGATGAGGATTACATTGAGTCTGTAGATTGCTTTTGGCAGGATTGCTATTTTTACTACATTGATCCTACCTATCCAAGAACATGGGAGATCTTTCCATTTTCTGGTGTCTTCTTTAATTTCTTTCTTTAATGACCCAAAGTTCTTGCAATATAGGTCTTCTCACTTGTTTGGTTAGCTTTACCCCAAGGTATTTTTTTGTTGTTTGTGGCAATTGTAAAGGGTAATGTTTCTTTCTCAGCCCTTTTATCATCTGTATATAGTAGGGCTACTGATTTTCTTGAGTTGATCTTATATCCTGCCACTTTGGTGAAG